CAAATACGTGAAAATTCTTCATAAGAAGATTCTGTAATTGATCATTATTTTTTTCTTGAAATAGAGATTCAAAATAAGGATTAGCAACAGTAAATTATTCAATTTCAGGATATTGATTGAATTAGGACGGTTACACTATACTGTGGGAGAAAATCAGAAGGCAGCTGTATATCTACGACGAGCACATCATTTAGATCCTAATACCTCTTACTCAATGGACATTTTGGCATTTATTTTGGCACAGGTTTGATTCTATCAAACGTCTCATGATTCCATCTACAAAATCATATGATTTATATTCAAGCTCAAGTTAATGAATCCATTATCGTGCAGACAATGAGACAAACAAAGTAGTGTAATATCCATTACGTTTATTATCATATCAAATTTTTGCGTCAAACTTTCTTTTCTTAAAATATTTTACATATATGAATTGAAAGCACAGCAGATGGAGCCAAATATATATATATATATATATATATATATATTATCGAGGTAAAATGTCGTAGTAGACAAAAAAAAATTTTCAGGAGCAAAACTATAAAGATTTGGAAAATCTTGCAGCTACTTTGATGGACGCACAAGAAACTCCTGAAGCTTGGGTGGCATATGCTTTTCTTGCTAAGTGTCAAAAAAGATACGACAAAGCATTGTATTTCACTGAGAAGGTACAGTTTTACTTTTGGATAGTAATATAAAAAGGTACTATCTCTATTCTGTAGTGAACTTGATCTATATTTCAAACAATTCAGGCTTGTAAATTGGCGGATTGGCATGTACATCCAATGGCAATTTTATTGAAATCTCTTATTCTAATCGATAAGAAGAAATTCGACGAAGCTATAGCAGAATTGCGTGATGCTCTCGTTATCCATCCTGCTAACTATACTCTCTATGAAGCTCTCGTTCATGCATTTCTTCTTCAGGAAAAAACTCAAGAGGTTCTTATTTTGATTAATTATTTGTTTATTTCGAAATAGCATTCATTTTCTTTGATTATATAGGTTTTTCGAAGCATTTATTCTTGGATGAGCAATTTATTTAGAAGTATGGCGAGTCGAAACATTGGTTTGGTAGTTTGGACGTGAATCTTCTCTTTTTTTTTTATTTGCAGTTTTTAAATTTTAAGTTTTCTTTTTTTTGAAAGAAATCATTATGCATAAACTTTTTGATCATTGGTCACTACGTCGTCATTCCCAAATTCAAAAGAGAAAATATGGCAATTTTGAATGATTTAGGCTCGAATTGTTGCTTGTACATGTCGACACATTCTTGGTCAAGATAATGCTCGGGCATTATATCTTTGTGCTACTTTAGCTGCTAAGGATGAATCCACAGTGAAGGATGCGCAGAAACTTCTGGAAAAGGTTGGGATTATTTGATTCAAATGCTATGGTTTTTTAAAACTTTTTTTACAATCTTTATATTTACTCTAGTATGTATACAGGAACGTGCCTGAGTAATAAATTAGTAGCTGTCATTACGATATTGTATTTGTTACTCATTTTGAACCCAGAATTTATAAGTTATAGGAGTATAATACCTGAAGTCCTCATTTATTTCCATGAAATTGGAAAGATTATCGAAGATAAATAAGCCTTCGACCAAATGATAGAAAGGTTATGCAGGAATCTTCACATATAAACTTTTTTTGTATCTTCACTAGTATCTTATAAAATTCTGCGTATAGCGTAATCGATCAGTATAACTATGAAAGATTCAATTTTTAGGCAATAGCGATATCTCCTCATTTATTAGATGCTGTATTTCTCCTTGTGGCCCTTTACGACAAAACACAAAGTTATGAGAAAGCAATTGCATTACTGAAGAAGCAAACTGAGGTAAAATGCTCTTATTAAATGTCTTTTTTTTTTCTGGTTGACTGTATCGTTAGGAGTGAAATATGCATACAATTACTTATTTACTCATTAATGAAGAGATTATTCTTTTGCTGTTCTGTTTATATTTGCTGAAATCTCGAAAAGATGTTCGTCATAATTCATTAAATTATTCATTCCGATTTCAGACGACAGTGAATAGCCGACTTCATCGTTTACTTGGCGATTTCCTGACCAAAACGAATCGTCCAGTTGATGCATGCCACCAATACAGGTTGGAAAGTTATGTTACATATTGTATAGTTTTTATAATTACATCTCGTCATTTTCATTCTTTCCTTTGTCATATTGAAGTATTTTCGTTTTTCTGTTAGATAATCCATTTTTTCATTCTTTTCGTATGTACGTTTTTCCCAATGCATATGCAGATTTCTCTGCATAAAAAATTTTGTTTATATTACTTCCACGTATTACTATATATGATATACTTGTACGTGTATTTGATCATTTTGTATTTCATCAGAAACCATTATGGAATCATCTTGTATATTTTTTAGTATAGAAATAGTATTAAACTAAATAGATAAATGCTTGCATTTTATATGATGATGCGATATTTTAAAGCGTAGGTAATAGTTACTACTATCTTTTATTAACAATTCATTTCAGGTTAGCGGTTGATGGTGATGCAAGTGCAGCTCAAGCAATGGATGCATTAGAAGGAATGCCTGGAATAAACACTCCAGAATGTTTAACATCTGTATCTTGTCCTGGAGCACCACGACGTCGAACTGGTCAAGTATGTCACAGTGATCAGACACTAGTTACTGAACGAAACATTTAATAATCTATACGATTATTAGTAGTAGCATCATATTACAGAGAATTTGAAAAACTTATCATTTGTTCCTTTTGTAGATTATTGTACAATAATATGCTCTGCAACTGTATAGCTGATTTATTGCTTTGCATGATAATTGATGCTGATATATTTGAAGAAAAGGGTATTATAGGCATTCTGAAATCGTAAACTTGTATTAGGCTTTTATTTATTTATTTTTTTTACTAGGCTTTCATTTGTTTGTTTTTTTTTTTTTCAATAACTACATTAGGTTCATTATTCACTTCGACACTGCAAATGTTAGCAGTGCTGCATATGTCTTTAGCACATTTCTGCACTTTGTTTATGATATTTACAATAATTATAATCAATTGTGCAACAAGAATGTATATATAGAGAGAGGGAGAGAGAAAGGAAGAAAGAGAGAGAGGGTTAGAGACAGAGAGAGCTAAAGGGAAAATGTGCTTGACAGTAAACAAATTGCCCAACCAATGCTCATGCGATCTAATTTCGAGTTTGGGGGGGTTTTTTTTTGGTCGATTCTCTGATTGTTAAATTTTATGATTTTTTACCGGAAACAAATGTTAGATAGAAGAGTAACATAGAATGTTCGTTCATTTGTATACATGCATTCTCAGTGCAGTTGGGAAACAATTTTTCTTACATTTGTTATTGGATGTTTCAGAATGCATCTAATGCAAAATAAACTGAAACAAAAATATTTTTTTCTTAAAAAAAACATCAGTTCACATCCTTTTTACAACCATCCATTGTGAGATGCTCATTTAATTAATAATTATAGTAACTTGAGAATCATGGTGAGACAGTCATTGCTTCTGGAAACTATTGTGCATGGTTCGAAATAGCTCAAAAGCATGCGATGGGTTGCTTGGTTGTCGTATTTTCCTAAGCAGGAAAACATATGCAATAAATTATCGGCAAGCGTTAGTAGGTTAGTAATATATATATGTATTGATAACAATCTAATTATCTGTAAAATTGCACAACCTTCTGATAATATAACCACGGCTGTATTGCATTTTTGACATTATATTCCGGCAGCAGTTTGTTCTCTTTCTTATTTCTTTAACAGAAAATATCTGTATGCATTTATATAAACATATATCTTTCATAGTTTCATCTCATTCTCTTTAGAGTTAGTGTAATTTATGTAAGTAATGACCAAATACAATTAAGTACAAAAATTAATTACTTATATTGGAATAGAAGTTAATCAAAGTGAGAAAATGGATAATCTTTAACATTAGGTTGAAAGATTCGGGATGCTTTATTGAAGAAGCATTGAAATGACAATTTTTAAAGCACTATTCTCAAACTTTTAGGCATTACAATGTTAGATTCAATTAAAATGTAGTAGAAATTCGGTTTAATAATTATTGAAAGTAATGAATTAAAACTTTGACTAAATTTGTTAAGGAATGCCAAAGATAAGTATGAAAAATGTCATTTTTATACTCTTCACTGCGTGTGAGATCTTTGCTTGTCATCTATCACGTCTAATTGTCAACTGCTAGCAATGCTGGGTGCTGCAGCTCCTTTGCTTTTTGGACTATGTGCTGATGCTCTCAGCATTTGCGCTTCCCTCTCTACTCTAAATTATTTTCATTCATTACTACTTATTCTTCCACAAACCTGTGATGGCATCTTTTTCTAACATGGTTTGTTCTTTAATTTCATTTTTTGTTTGCTCCTCTTCAAGCAAATGCTTATAGGAATGTTTTGAAAACAAAAAAAAAAAAAAAAAAAAAAAATATTGACATACGAAATCGTCAAATATTTTTTGATGAATATTATTATGCATCCTTAGTTCTCTGTACCGAATGATTGCAAAATTTCGATCATGATGGTGATGATATTTATCAAAAAATGAACAGGGAATCGAGTTTTCTTACTTTACAACTTAGAAGAATATTGTTCAATGATACATCAGTAATGGCCATCACTATGTTAAAATTGTCGTTCCATCCTTTAATGATATAACCGAAAATTTCGGTAGCTATAGACAATGCAAATGCGGTATTTTCAATTTGTTTGCTCCCAAAAATGAAAGTGGAACAGAATGAATTGCTCAAAAAAAGAGTAGATGAGATGGTGGTGTCTCTACGAGACAAAATTAAAATGAAAATTTTTAGTATATGCTTAGTATTGCAGAATTTTTCGTCCAATCCAAAATATGATATTCTTTTCCCTTTCGATAAATGAAATCTATTCAATGCAAAACTTTCTCTTCAATTTATTTCAATGATACTAATCAGAAAAGTTTAAGCATAATATTGAGATAATTGAAGTTACAGGATGCAATGAAAACGCATTCAACTCTGGATTTGGCCAAACGAGCAGCAGCGTTTGCAGCTGGTGAACAGCATGTAAAAAGTGGTTGTCGAATTGGTGTTGGCAGTGGTACCACGGCTAAATTTTTGGTTGAATTTTTGGCTGAAAAAGTTAATGATGGTACGGTGAAGGATATTATCTGCGTACCTTCTTCATTCTCAACTCGCCAGTGGTTAATCGATTATGGTTTACAAGTTATTGATTTGGAGAAGATTCTCGATTTAGATCTATGTATTGATGGAGCTGACGAAGTAGATATCAACCTGAATTGTATAAAAGGTAGTAAGTCATTTCGTTCTCTTCATAATACTACGGTTGTTCTATTGCATGCTGTTTGCAATACTATTCTAACGTAAACTGCATTATATGTATAAATTTAGAAGAGTTATCATGCAGAAGTAATATACGAATGTTCAGGTGGTGGTGGTTGCTTAACTCAAGAAAAAATCGTGCAAACATGTGCCAAAAAGTTTTATATCATTGCTGATTCCAGTAAGCAATCAGAAAAACTGGGCGATAGGAATTTTCCCATTCCAATCGAAGTTGTTCCATTTGGGTAAGCTCTTCACTATTGCAGTACATTTATCTACGTCTGTCCGTTTATTTTTCATCATTATTTTTTATGATTTAATACAGTTTGCCTGGATACATCATTTATGAAACTGATGATAGCAAGTTAGCATATTATTCCGTTTGCTGATTCAACTGAAAATGGTTTAGACGGTAGGCAAAAGATGTCTTTTTGGCTTGTTTGTTGTTTTTAGAAATATCTGTTACGCTACTAAGTCATCGTAATACATATTGTAATACGTATTATTAGATTTCACTGTGTCAGAAATCAGTAACATTAATGTTTCGTTTTACAGATATGCGCCAGTTTTAAATTGGATAAAACGTCAGGAAGGTGGTGAGGTTGAGTTGAGAACGAACAGTAAAGAAAAGTTGGATCCATTTATTACAGACAACAACAATTTTATTTTGGATTGGAATTTTCCGAAAAATAAATATGTGACAACGGAAGATTTATCAGCTTTGCATACACGTCTGATATCATTACCGGGTGTTGTCGAAACGGGTCTTTTTATAGGTGTTGCTGAGAAGGCTTATTTTGCTACTGCAGATGGGAATGTTACGGAAAGGCTAAGACCAGATCCTTCTCTTCATTTCTCCCGAAATCAAAAATCTTCGCTTCATTAAATTAAAAAAAAAAAAGCAAAAAACGTAGTAGGGTTCAATTCGCAACTTTGATTTTTGTAAAAGGAAACATGTTTAGTGTATCTGTGTTATCTTGCTTTTAATCGTAGCTACCTCCGTATGTTTAATCTCAAAAATTCGTAAGTGAATTTTATTTACGTATCCATATAAAACTTGGAAAGATAGTTGCTGCTTTTTTGAAATATTTTTCTTCTGAGAATGAAAAAATATCTTTATACTTTTAGATAATAACTTAAACTGTAGATAATTTCATGACTTAGGAGAACATTAGCATTCATTTCATAAAAAAAATATCATTTGAATCAATTAGGACAATTTTTTTCTTTTTGAATAAGAACTCATCATGTAATGATTGCATTGATGGTTGTCTGTGAACAGTTGATGATTAATGATACTTACTCCTAAATTGGATTGAATTCAGTCATTAGTAATGATAGTTTAATGTTTTTTTATCATAATATCCTACTTTTTGTGCATAAATGAAATACAAATATGAACAATAATATGATATATTGTAGAGTAGTTATGTTGTTTTCTCTTGATATATGTTATACTTTTGTATTAAAATGTATTTGCATGCTTCTTACAATTTCTTTCTTTGCTACATTTCTTACATTTGTGAATTTGTTTGTACCTTTGTTCAAGGAGATTCAAATAATATTCAGAAGTTTGTAATTCCTTAGAAATTTTTTATATATTTTATCATTGCATGCTTAATTTGAAATATGCTATGAAATAAATTTGTTTTATTAAATAATATTTATAAACATTACATGTTTTTCTCGTAGTTTTGTAATTTTTAATGCTTTTCAGGAGCATATTTTATATGCATAAACAAAAATATGAAGATGTTTAGGAAAAAAAAAGAAGCTTATTGCTAATAAATGCTACTATCATATTCATCTTCATCTTAAATAATCATTCTTGTTATATAAATTATTAGTTACTTATTCTTTTGTAATGATTAATAGACAAACATTTCTTCCGTTTGAATCAAATAGGTTTACTGTTACTGAAAAGTAAGTAAGATTTTTTTTTTTTTGCTACAGATATGATTAAATAGTTTACTTAATTTCTTCGTCATATTTGGTATTTGTAAAAAGTGATGGAAAATTGCATTCGTAGTAGTACTAACTTTACTATATAGACAATTGAAATAGGATATTTTAGTAAATAACTAATTATGTGGTATACAGTTCCACTTATTTTCAAAAATATAAGCAAAAGTGAATAATAGTATGTATGTCCAAAGACTGATGATATAACCATATGTATTTGTTGAATCGTCGAAATATTTATAGTTGAAAAATTAAATTTGCAATGATTAGGAAGCAGTGCGTGATTTGTGTATTCTAATGAATTATAGATTGTTCAGAGAGGTATGGAATCGGTTCTAGAGACTCTTCTCTTCACATTCATTGATCCTCCGAATGTTAAAATATCACCTCCAAGATGGCTCAAGGTTTATTCTATACTTTTTTATTAGAATCTTTTCTGTTATGTTACTTTTGCTTTTGTCACCTTACAATAAATTGGTATAAGTTAGTCTTATGGCATTATAAGTCTATCTTCAAATGTTTTGAAATATTTCAGATACATCTGTTACGTTTTTTTTAGATGCCTTCACCGATGCAAGTGTTCGCATTAGTTATGATAACCTATTTCTTCGTCACTGGAGGTGTCATCTATGATATTATCAATGAACCTCCAAGCATCGGTAACTGTATAACTCTGTGATCACTTAATTTTATTCCTCTAGTAATCCTCCCTTCTTAATTATTATCACTGCAGGACAAACAACTGATGAGAGAGGTAATGCGAAACCAGTTGCTATAATGCAATATCGAGTTAATGGACAATATATTATGGAGGGTTTGGCCGCAAGTTTCATGTTTTCTTTAGGCGGTACTTTTTTTTTTTTGTTTACTGAGTTTTGACACGATATGACCTTCGCCTATTTTAAGAATTTTTAAGAACTTGGAAACAAATTGTATTTTAGCATGTAAAAGTAGTGAAGGATTTTGTCAACTGTATTTCAAACATTTCAAAATATTCGTTTTCTCATCCATTATCATTAGTTCTTTCAGGACTTGGTTTTATCATATTGGATAAATGCAATAATCCACTGACGCCAAAGTTAGATCGAATAATGATGTTGGGACTGGGTTTCGCTTGTGTTCTCATTGGTTTCTTAGCTACGCGGTTATTTATGAAAATTAAGATGCCATCGTATTTGCAAGGTATTACTGGCTAATGGACTCCTTTATATTCATTATTCATGTCATGTATGCAATAGAAAGTTATATTTTTGAGTTTTTCTAAAAGCACTTTGTTGGTAAGCATTTATCGCACTTCTGAAATTAAAGATAAATCTTTGTTAAATTTATATTGCTTTAGTGGTTGTTACCAATCACAGTTTTCCCTTAGGCAAAAAAGAAAAAAAAATAGTGCACTGTTGAATGTTTTCGACATATGAACATCCAAAGAATACTGAATTTGCTTTCTTTGTGACTATAAATCGTATACTTCCGTTTATACACCATGACGGACTCTATCATCAATTAAAAAGTCATGGAATCCTGTTTTTGATTCAAATCACTAGTTAAACTGATTCGAAACGAATAAAATGTAATGCTGTAAAGTCGAAAAGATTTGCAGTAAGATGATGAAATGGATGATCTATTTTTCGTAAAATATCGTTTTATGACATGATATGATATTTCTTATAAATGTTTTATTTTTATTCTAAGTTATTTATTCCCTTGTGGAAATAAAATTTTTGTTGTTAAATATTTATATGGTAAATTTAAAAGAGATAGGTAAATTGGTTGGTTATCATAGTCTTCTCCAGATTTACTTTCTCAGTTTCTCTAATACTGTTCAATAATTTCATCCAACGATACTTTTTATCTTAATAAAATAAAGATCAATCTCTATCATAGCTTTCTCTGCAAATTATTCCTTTATTTGACTCAATAAACTACTCCAGTCAAATGTATTTTACAACACGATGGATTTTTACTAAGACTGTAATATGTGTGTAAATTGGATTTAACAAAATAGGAAGAAATTTTCCAAACATTTTTTTTTTCTTTATAACATCAGGAAAGCCTCTCTGTTAATAATATTAACATTGGATACAAACATTCTGATTCATCGATCAACTATTAGCATAAATTTAAAAGAGTAGAAAAGACTTACCGGTTATTGAAAGAGTTTTAACTGTTTTTTGTACTTTAATCACTGCTGAAACATTTTTCGTTTTAATCTTTCCGGTCGTATTCTCAGCCTTTTTAATCCTTTTTATTTGAGTGATGTGGCGATAATCTTTATTCCTAAACCATTAGCTGCAAATGAATAAAAAACTTTTATCTTAAATTGAGTTCAAAGTTTTTTTTTTTTAACAATTTTGCGTATGAAACGTAATATGAAATTACAATAAACAAATACGAAGTGTACTAGATGCAATATAACTTAGAGACTATATGCAGAAATGATTATCTGGAAGTAAGACAAAATGCAAATTAAAAAGAAGAAAGAATTAAAAATGGTAAAATTTCAAGCTAAAAAAGTAAATAAAAAAAGCACAGTATTTTTACTTGTTGTATTTAATAGTCAAAGATGGATAATCCGATAGTAGGAAAATTCTTGAGGAATTTGAAACCGTCCAAAGCAGGAAGTTATTGAATCAAAGTTAACTCAAAAATACTTTTACTGGAATTACACTATTTCCTGCAAATGAAGTTTCATCGATAATTTGCAATAGCCAACTTATACAATACTAATATTTTCTTAGCAAAAGATATTTTCATTTTATTATTGATGAAATAACAATTACTGAAAAAGTTGCGAAAATATCGCAGCAAACAAAGTAAGTAACTATGCAATAAGTGTGACAGAAAATGAACGGAAAAATTGAAATCCATAATAAATCAGAAATTATAAACAATCAAACAAAGATGAATAATTCGTCGAGAAAAAAGAAGCAGTAACGTTGAGGAGATTTTTCATTTTACCAATTTGTTACATTCTCAAAAATGATAAGAGTTAGAAATCAATTAGTGTAAATGTGATGAGTAAACTACTTTAAATTTTTGTAACTGTCAAAACTATGCTGAAATCTTCTGTCTCCATTAACAACACATTAATTAAGATTATTTAAGAATAATTAACCTAATAATTAAGAAATAATTTTAAGAGTAATTAAGAAATAAGAATTTATAGATAGCAAAAAGCAAATGATAACTGACTTACTTACAAGCATTATCAATTTGTTATAAGAAATGCTTTTATTGCACTAATTTATGTAAAAGTATCTTCTACAGAATTTAGCCAACAAATTGCTGTAATTAAGACAACAATTTGCCATGAAGTTCTGTTATCTTTAAAATGTTGCGGAAGTTTTTATACTTTCTAAAGTAAGCACTAAGGTGAGTTACTTCCTAGATGATAAGCTGAATATTATTCTCAGAATTTCAGCAGAAAAAAAAATCCTAAATTAATACATGAATGTTTTATTAACACTAATGAATGTTAACAGTTACTCTTATCAGTAAAGTAGGTGATTACTCTCTGCCATAAATTATCTAAATCTTTCTTAAAACATTCAAAACCTTTGTAATATATTAAAAATCTATTCTTCTAATTTAAACTTTAAGCGAATTAGCCATCCCATCACTCATCATCCACTATGAATGGATAATTTTGCTCCATTAATAATGCTTATTCGAGAGCTATCAGAGGACAATGTGTAATTGTGACAGGTGACAGAGTGGTTGACATGAGGTAATAGTACACAGTAAACGGGGAGTAAGTAGAGAAACAGATGGATGAAATAGTATTGTGCAAGATTGAGAGGACGACAGTGAGCGAGAATGATAAGTTGTCATTGGATTGAGTTCTCGAACTGAGGAAGTAATCGTATGGCGGAATGTTACGGTTCTGTTATGTTATTTTTCCGTCTCAAAAAGCTTCAGGAATTGATGGAACAGTATTTTTAGAGTGTATCTGATGACAAAAGAAGGAATTGTCATGAAAAGTTGAACGGTCTTATTTTCTCGACGTGTCATTGAAAGAATTGATTTCTTCTGTCATTTGTGTAGTGTACTGTTTGGTTTGGTATAGGAGATGTTTCATTTCATTTGTTTAGTGATAAGACTTGACGAAAGATATTATTAAATTAGAAACACTATATTGTCCTTTATCAAATCTTCAAATAATATATTTCATTTCGAAGTAAGACTGAGGATCTTCTGATTTATCCTTACAGAGTCTTCGAGTATAGGACCGAAACCTTATATACATTTCAGCTAATGATCGAGTAAATATGTAAAATAGTCATATTTAGGCGAAAGATATTATTGATAATGCTAGTATGCTAATGGTAACTCAAAAAGTTCATCGATTCAAAAATTGTTCCTTTTTTTATCTTAAATAAGCGTTCATATGTTTCAGCATGGTTTGTCCATCGTCGGCTGTGGTCATAGCTCGCCGGCAATGTCAATCATTTTTAATAGTTAGAACGGTACGACACATAACAAAGAGCGGTGGAAGTAGTAATGATTCGGGTTCAGGTACAGATGATTGGGAAAATAACAACACCAGCAGCGAACACATTCTATTTCGTCAACGTATTCCGTTGCACGCATCCGTTCCGTTGACTGGCAAACATGTTACAACAAGGTGGAATATCTGGCGCACTTCATCCTGTAACAGTCGTTGTGACGAGTGTGGCAAACCACTCAAAAACATTCCATCATCGACGCGTGAGTAATAATATTTATTAAAAAAGGATTAAATATTCTATGTGAATATCCATAATAATCCTGAATAACGCTGTGATTAAAATTTCTATTCTTACTGCTATGCATTTATTAGTGCTGTTGTATTAAAAGTTACAATTGCTGGTTTAGTTATTGTCAACTACAAGTAACTTAGTAGTTCAAAATCCATCAAATATTTCTTGTGTCTTTTTTAGCCAGCTCACGTTATCTGATTTGTGAAAACTGTCGGCGGTTATTTAGCTGCGGCCCGCCAGATGAGGATGATGAAAAAGGAAGTATTTTAAAAGCAAGTGAAGCAGACAAGAAACCGCCGTATCCAAAAGAGGTTGCGTTTTTAATGCTCGTAATTGATTTCACCAGATTTTCATTATGCATAATTTGAAGCAGTCAGAATTCTATGGAACTAGCAATAATTAATAATTTTTCAGATTTATGGTTTCCTGAATAAATATATCATCGGTCAAGAACAAGCTAAGAAAACGCTTTCAGTTGGAGTGTATCAACATTACTTACGTCTGTATCATAATATCGAGAATAACGTTAGTTCACCAGCCATGAATAATGCGGAAGGGAATCGGCCGCGCACAGGAGCATCTTCATCTGGTGTATTGTATCAGGAAGATTATAGTAGAACCAGTCGCGCCGACATTCGTTTTTTCTCGGAAGTAACGGCTCCCCAACAAAAACACCGAATTGCTTCACCAGTATTTCGTCCACTTCCTGAAAACGATGTTCCTATCCGACTAGAAAAGTCTAACATTCTGTTACTTGGTCCGTCTGGTGTCGGCAAAACCTTTATCACTCAGACATTAGCCCGTATTTTGGATGTACCCATTGCGCTATGTGATTGCACATCCATGACTCAGGCCGGGTAACATTTCCTTGCTTTTCATTATATTTAAACTATGTAGAACATCATAATTGTTTCCTTGGATAGGAATGACAATTTACATTTGTTCGAGCTAATTCATTATGAAGGCAAACTGTAGATATAAGAATGCTTCCCGATATTTTTAACTAAAACCAAAGAAAGCATACTCTACTATTAAAGTAACGGTCCAGCTCTGTATCAAATGTCTGAATCAAATTACCGAATCAAAATATGAGAGCCACAACAATGAAAATATATGCTTAACTATAGATACATGCTTGTAGTTATGTTGGCGAAGATGTGGAAAGCGTTGTGCAAAAACTCGTGCAGAATGCGGGTGGTAACGTGGAACGTGCACAGCAAGGGATTGTTTTCTTGGACGAGATAGATAAAATAGCTGCAGCACATAATGTACAGTCTCATGCATTCAGAGATGTTAGCGGTGAAGGCGTACAACATGCATTGCTCAAATTAGTAGAAGGTAAGAGTTTATGTCTCACATTGTATCAATATGTGAATTATTTCATTGCATGACTTAATTGTTTAGAAAGTTCAAGTAATTCTTGGATTTGTAATTTACTGTTGATGCGCTACCCGGAAAAAAATAGTAGGTAATTTTTTTCCGAACCTTTGTTATGCTGTTCACCTATTATCGTCTACTTTTAAGCATGCTAGGAAGAGCTCTATTGTTTCTTTGTTCACTTCAGGAACATTGGTGAACGTAAAGAGTAGTCGTAAGTCAATGAGCACGCAGCAAGACTTCGTTCAGGTTGACACAACAGATATCCTGTTTGTCGCATCGGGCGCATTCACCGCTTTGGATCGTATAGTCGGCAAACGACTTGATAAGAAAACACTTGGCTTAGGTTGTTTTTATTAACTAACTCATATATTGTTCATTAGTGATTAGATTTGGTGAAATTTATTAGTGTCAACTTTATTCATTGTACGAAATTCTGAGATTTTTTTTTTTTAAAGGTATTTCTCATTCTAGCGTTTCAGGTGCAAAATCAGGAATGCAGCGAATAACCGATGATGATAAGCTAGAAGCAGCAATTTCGAAGAAGCGAGACGATCTTTTGCGACAAGCGGATCAAGGAGACCTTATAAGTTTTGGCATTGTACCGGAACTTGTTGGACGTTTTCCGGTTATTGTTCCTTTTCACAGTTTGGATAAGGTCTGTATTAGCTTCTTTTTCTAATTATGATTTAGTTTGATAAAAAATATCAACTTAATCAGTAGCATCTAGTACATGTTGAAATGTACGCTTTATCTGGAAATGACATTAATTGCTAAACTAATAATTACAGGGTATGCTAGTCAGAGTATTAACTGAGCCAACGAATTCACTTCTTGCGCAGAAAAAACTTGAATTTGCTATGGATGGTGCAGATCTTTCGTTTTCCTCTGATGCACTTGATGAAATTGCTGCGCTTGCATTAGAGCGTAAAACTGGTGCACGTGCATTACGTTCCATTGTGGAAAAGGTTTGTTAATTACTTGCATCACAATCATGCTTATTATAAAATTTATATGGAAATATTTTCTTACAATGATCAATGCACAGGTATTACTCGAGGCGAAGTTTACGGTACCAGGAAGCGATATCGAAAGTGTTCACATAAATAGAGAGTGCGTGCAAGGTAAAGCTGATTATGTATATACGCGACGTGCTCAGCAGGCTACAGGTTAACGATAATGTGTTCTGTTAAAGAAAGGTTAATATAAGGAGTGATGTAATCTGTGGTTTCGTTGACTTCATTTAGTAAATTCATTTAAAAAAACATTAAAAAAAAAAAAAATCAGTGCGTAGAGATAAATCCGAAGTATGTTTCGAGTCTTTCACATTCCTAGGGCCTAATTAGCATTTATTGGTGACGTTCATTGAAGAACGTTGTGTTATGTAATCAATTTTTCTGTTAGTGCAAGCTTTGATTTTATGGCCATCTCCTTGTTTTTACATTTGTATTTCTTTTTTACTTCCATTTTATATTCTTCACACTCAATTTTTATATATTTCTCACTTTAAATTTTGTTCTATTTCTCATCCATACTTTAATAAAGATGATCAGTGGGACAATTTGAATTAATGTATATTGGGTAGATCATAATTCCTTGTAAAATAGTAGGCCTATTCCAGTTTTTATCCATTTTATCAAAAACAAGTTTTTTTTTTTTTTGAATAAAGTATATTGATTTTATTGTTCGAACTGGAAAAATGAAATCCCTTATTAATTAGCTTGCAAACCTCGAATTCATTCTTCAAAGAATGCAACACACAGGGGTATTGGTTAATGTACAATTTATATATGATTGCTCATAATAAATGTAACTTGGATAACAATTTTAGAGAATTCTAGAGTTCGAGTATTGTCATCATTTATGATGCTAAGCCAAATATGTAATGGCACTTAAATCTTAGAAACTTTTATTGCACATCTGGTTATTATCACTGTGTAACTTTCCATTATGGCAGTACTGCGATGCATTTATTTCCACAGCCATAAATAATTGGAAAAGAATAAATAAACCAATAGGTCAACATGTCCTAAGGATCCTTTCTAGCATTTCAAACAATTTTCTGGTATCATTATCCATAAACACTCGATCTTTTGAACCAGCAATTTTTATTAATTCTTCTTCGTTCACCGGATGCTAAAAATGAAATATCTGTTTACTCGCTTTTTCACATATTGCTAGTATTATTAATTAAAAAAATAGATTTGACTCGGCTAAAGAATATGTCAAAAATATGAATAGCTGAAAGTAAATAATTGTGGGACAAACTAATAATAACAATCTGTTATCATATGTGACCCTAGAATTTAGGAATATTCCAGAAATCATAAAAAAGAAAGCAGTCCTATAAAAAAAATTATCTATTCATTCTATTAAAGAGTCATTAATTTCATATTTTTCCAATTTGTCAAAAGAAACTCTCATTATTTCATATACATAATAAAAGATTATTACTCTACCTGGCTACCAATTGCAATAGCAAATATATTTGGAATTAAATTTCTTAATAAACTAGCTGCTTCTGTAGTATCTTTTTGTCCAAAACCATCGGTGAATATAATTACAAGTGGTATTGCTTGTTCTGGTCTTGCACCTTTCTTTGTTGAATATTCTGTTATTGCCTACAAGAAATACATTCTTCATAAAAGTTAACAGAAAAAAATTAAATATGAAATATGTTTTTTTTTTGTTTTCGATACAAATTAAATTTCTATTCAAGTATTAAATTTAAAAAAAAATAATTTTATAGAAAAAAAAAAAAAAAATACCTGTAAAAGTGCAGTATGTATTGCTGTTGTACCACTGCTAAAAGAAATTTCATGAAGTACTTTTAGCACTTTTTCTTTCTCTTGTGGCTTATCAAATGACCAAACTGTTTTTACTTTCTCTTTTGCTGCAAATTTAACAATTGCTACATGTGCGTTATTTGCGCCTATTCGAAGTCGATTTATTATTTCTGCGGCAAGTTCCTTCTCACGATTAAATGTTTTCTCTACCGAACCTGATGAATCGATAAGCATAATAACATCAATCTCGCAACCTATAATTAAAAGATTAGCAATTGAATTAAAATTATAATTTTTCATAATAATCAAAAATATTTCAATAAAAAGAAAGAACTACTAACCAGGTAATGGAATAGTAGTAGTAGTAGTACCATCTGGTTTAAAAGTGGTACTTAAAGAATGTTGCTTGAAATTGAAATTTGAAGTTGTTTGAGTAGAACGATGTAAATTTTCTGATATTTCTTTTAGTTGTTTTTCTTTCGAATTTTTTCCATCCAATAATAATGTTTCATTCTTTTTCTCTAATTTATTTAACACTGCGATAGATTTCTCTTTTGTAATATTTCGTTTAGTTGTAGATTTTTTCAGTTTAGTTGTAGGCTTTGAAATTTCAATACTTGCTACAGTAGTTTCTTCTTTGATAATAACCTAAATTTATGCAAATTATTGATAATTCATATTTTAAATTAGAAACAAAAAACAAAAAAAAAAAAAAAAAGCTTTTCATTAAAATTTAACGAATGTTATATAAATTTTTTCATGAATTTAACCAACCTTTTCACCTTCGAATCGTTTAAAATTATATTCCAATTTACTACCAATATCTTTTTTTCGTTCTAAAGTTTGATTTTTATGTGCAGAAGAAGTACTACTACGAGTAGTTGTAGTAGTAGTAGTTATTGTAGAAAATTGATTAGCATGTGATGACATCTAAAATAATTAAAAGATAAGAAAAATTTTTAAATGTATAATTTTGTTAAATTGTAAATCGATTAGATAATTACTAATATAAGTGTTATAATTAAAGAAGGAATAAAAAAAAAAAAAGAATTGAAGAATTTAGGAAAATTTACTCTTCCAAGTATCTTTTGTTTTTTTTTTACTAATAAAATTTATTACAATTCTTTTAAATTGTATGATTTGTTTATTTTAAGAATGTTAAAAATTAACAGTACCCGAGCACATCGAGCTTTATTAGCAGCTTCAACAGCATCAAATATTACTTTAGCAAATACAGCATTACGATCATAATTGAAGACATTATCTGATGAATTTGTATATTTTGATAATATTTCAACATTTATCAATTTACCACTATCTACTGCATATGTGCTAAGATTTTTTGCCTAAAATAAAATTTCGCGTTTTCTTTTTTTTTTTTTTTTCTTTTGATTTATTAATTTAATTTCAAGAAATATTTAAGAATATCATAGGTATGTTTATGAATTCAGGCAATGTTATATTCAATTGAATGGAATATAAAAGAGAAAAACAACAAAAGGGCAGGTCCCGGGGAGATTCGAACTCCCGTCGCAGGATTCAAAGTCCTGAGTGCTAACCACTACACCACGGGACCATGAACACGTCAATCTTCAAATTTTGGAATATGTAGCAAAAGTGAGATCTTCTGCCATCGTGTCACCTTGTCACTATCTTTCAGATGATCGTATCACCCTGTCACCTCCTCTCAGATGATCGTATCACCTGGTCATCTTTGAGAGAGTGTATAGGTCAATTAATCGATTATGGACAAATTCTACTCACTCTTAATTATCACATAACTTACAATCTCAATATCGAAATAGCATGTCACATCTTTACAACTGTCACCAAGCATAATTATGTAAATATCTGAGAAGTACTTGAGGGGACCTTCGTCCCCTTCAATCGTGGCTAATCAGTTTACTCGCATATTGTCACCTATCTTCCTAAATCAGCTGACATCTCATTCCTAATCACTACACATCACTTACTATGAAGTAAGACATACAGAGGAAATATCCGGAATACCGGATTCTGTTATCATAACTATGCCTACATTTCCTTTCTAGCAATAAGTTTTCTGGAAACCACCACCCCCTCCCACCTCCAACCAACAAGGTAACTTGCCAAACAAATGAAGCACTAAGGTCCCGGGGAGATTTGAACTCCCGTCGCAGGATTCAGAGTCCTGAGTGCTGACCACTACACCACGGGACCATGTGTAGATCACATTAATTCATTTCAATTTTACTTTTCGAAATAATTAATTACTTTTGGAAGTAAGTAATAGGTAAAACATACAGCACGTAAATGCTTAATAGCATTACTACGCTCCTTTGGATTATCTTCTGAATGCCCATCACCAACAATAATAAGCATACCACGGGCATCTTTACGTCCTTTCTTGTATTCCCTGAACACATCAATCGATTAATCAATCAATTAATCAATCAATATTGCTATGTTAATGTACATTGTGCCATTTCCACTAATATTTCATATTGCAAACATTTGAATTTATACAAAATGATAACACTCACTGTAGTGCAAAATTAATAGCCTTAGCATAAGATGATTTGCCAATTTTAGGTTTAATTGATTCCATTTTTGTGAAAATACTTTCTCTATTCTGTAGATCACTCATACTAACCACCAATTGCGGTTGTCTGCTAAATGTTATCACGGTGATCTTCACTGGATCATTATGTTTTATCACTGGTAACGATCCTGAATAATCATCACGCATATATTATCACAAAAATTGAATTGAATTGAATTATCAGAACTTATCTGAAGATAAAATTGAGCAAAATATTCATTTGTAAACTCTAAAAAAAAAAAAAACTAAATTATGTTTCTCTTTTTTCTTTGTAAAGAAAGAAATGAGACTAACCAAGAACATCTAATAAAAGATAACGATTGGAAGAGATCGATTGTTCACTTTGATTGATTTTTTTAATAGCATTATCAAATAGAATAATAATATCCAAATTAGGAGTAGTGCAAATTTGACTGTTCAAATTTTTCTTTAGCACTTTTGTATTATTCAAATTTACAGCATCAATCTTTTTACTACATTCTTCTCCACCAGTAAGCAATGAGACTATATCCGTTAAAAATCTAAAATTAATAAATAAAAATTTCACAAAAAAAAAAAATGCATCAATAAATAAAAGAAAATTTTCAATAAAAATTAATAATAATCAAACCTTTCGGTAGAATTATCTCTATAAATTCGATTTATATCACCAATATAATGTTTTAACTCGCGTAAATCAATACTTTCACCAAGTGCTACACCAAATAGCTCTGCACCAGTATTTTTTAAAAGTTTACTTGTTTCAAGTACCTTCTCCCATGGATCTTGTGACATTCCATCATTCATCAAAACAACAACCTAAAAAAAAAAAAAAATCAAACATTTTTTGTTTAAAAATATTATTTAATAATAATTTGTCAAATTTTTTATAAAATATTAAATCATAATACTTGTATAGCATCCGATCTTCTTCCTCTCTGCAAATCTTGCACTGATAATTCAACAGCTTGAGCAGTAAAAGTACTTCCACCATTGTATTTGATATCTTCAATTGCACGACGTACCATCTATTAAAGTAACAATATAAAATTGTCACAACACTTTGTCATATATATATTTTTTTCACGTAGAAAAAAAAAGAGTTAAAGTAAAAGAAAGAGAACGTAAACTAACTTGTTTATCCCTACTCAAGTGTTTGACGTAACGTATGTCACAACATTTTGTCATATATATTTTTTCTCACGTAGAAAAAAAAAAGTTAAAAGTAAAAAAAAAGGAAAAAGGTATACTAACCTGTTTATCCCTACCCAAACCAAGTGTTTGACGTAACGTAGGCACGGAAGTGAATGAATTTATACCCACTGCTACGTGAGTTTCGTCAGCATCAATGGGTAAGCGTTCAATAAGTGAAAGAGCTAATTCACGTTGATGTTCAAAGACTTGTTGACGACTGCTAGATGCATCCAAAATTATTTCCAAATCCATTTTTGAATATTTACATCTGCAAAAAAGTAAACAAACTTTTTGATATACCTAATTCATTACTTATATCAAAGAAAGAAAGAGAGAGAGAGAGATAAGTTATAAAAGAGATACTTCTTTGATTCCAATGATTTTGCCAATTGTTTTGATTCCATAAATTTACCATCATTCATTGGAGTAGTAAATTCTTCTTCTCTTTTATTCAAATGATTCTCTTCTTGATTTACACTACTACTATTTCTCTGTTTAATATCATCAATTGAAGATTTTCGTCTTGTTAATTCTATTTCATCCGTTAACTTTTTGTTTTCAGCATTTTTAGGCAATTCTGTCATCAATTCCATCTGTAAATAATTATTTTTATTTTTTGTTTTTGTTTTACATTTCAATAATTTTATAGCCTATTAGTAAATATGTATCATTAACAAAATACATTGAAATATAATGTCAACAAAATGATATCACTTCGATAGATGATAACACTGATAATATAAATTTGAATCAAAAAAAAAAAAAAAAGAAACTTTCAAATGGAAGTAAAACAATTTAACTTAGTCAAAAAGCAACTCTATTTTTTTTTAGATCCAATTAATTATGGTATTATTAGTAGCATCTTCTTCCTATCATTCTTATTCGAATATATTCTACAACTGTTAATATCACTTCTTATCATTCAGATCAATTCCGTTCCCTTATTCTTCATTCAAAAGACTAAAAATGGAGAAAAAAAGAGAGAGAGGAAGAGAGAAAAAGGAGGATTTACCTGTGCAGGTAATGAGAAAATTGATGCAGAGGGATCTTGACATTTGAGTAGCGATATTGTTGCATCTTCCAGAAATTGCTTTTCACTATCATTCACATATACTAGCCATTTATTTCTTGTGTACAATTCTAATTCTCTGTAATTTTTATAATTATATTTATTTATAGTATTAATTTTAATTCAAAATTTAATTCAAAATGAGTAATTTTAATTAAATTATAAAAATATAAATTCATTTTTTACAAGCATCTTTCTTCCAAACAATCCAAAAAATGCCAAACATTAAATCATCTTTTTAATCCATTTACATTATTTCATCATTGTTGGTTAAAAAAAAATTTATAATTTGAAAAATATTTTTTGAAAATTTAAATTTGTTATTTTCATTTATTTCATTTAGTAGTAGAATAAATTTACCGGAAATAATAATTAGAATCAGCAGAAATTGCATAAATGATAGCATTGATAGCATGAAGACGATCAGATGCATCTAAAAGATCTTCCCAACGATCTTGACTATAACCATCCGATATAAGTACAATCATTCTTCTATAATAGTTTTCATTTCAAAAAATTATGAACATGTTTTTGAAATGAACAAAAATAAATCTTTTCATTATTACACTTTGATATTTATAAAATTAATTTAAAAAAAGTAAAAAAAAAAAAAAACAGAAATAGCTTTTATAATATTTATTTTAAGAATTAATATAAAATAATTATTCTTTCTTAAAAATAATTGCATTGTTAATAACGGTAATACAATGATTATTTATTCATTTTTGTTTTATAATTCCTGAAAAAAAAAAAAAGGAAAAAGATGGTATTCAGATAAAAAAATGATTTTAAATAAATATATGAAAAATGTTTGAATTTACCTAACATTTTCTCGTCCTCTTTCTTGAATTTCTTTGATAGCTAAGTTAACAGCATTCACTGAAGACGTATTCCCACCGGTATGAATGAATGAAAGTAAAGCGTTTAATATCTAAATTAAATAATATTTTATAAATAAAATTGAGTATAATTAATAAATAGGATAGAAACTATTATCAGAAATAAACCTCTTTTTGACTGTTAAATTCATTAAATTGAAAATTAATTTGAGCATTAGAACTGAATGATATAGCAGCAACATGAATTCGTTCATTGAATGCTAATGGCGGAATTTGTTCTATCTAAAAGTAATTCATTCGTTACTTTAATTTGAATCTAACCTTTTGCGCTTTTTGCGCTTTTTTCATATTTTGCTACCATTCCTTCTGACTTACTCTATTAAAATAAATTTTCATAGGTCATAAATGAAAATGTCACAATTTTCGTTAGGTCATAAGTAAAAAATATCACAACAAAATATTATAAACAGATTTTTGAAAATTAAATACCAATGTTGCAGCTAATTGTAATTGTTTTTGAAAAGCTTTCTCAACACTTTGCGATGTGTCCACAATAAATATAAGATCCACCAAACAATTAGGATCTTCAATTTCAATCTGTAAATAAAAATCATAGATTGCTTTAAGTAGCTAAAATGAAATGACACATTCTTATAGCTAAATGTCACATATTTACAACTTAATTAGACATCAAGCATTATGAGTAAATTCTTATCAGATAATTGATAATTGATATGCAGAAAGTAGCATTGAATTAATCATTTATAATGCTATCTTTCTCTTCAAATAATAGCCTACTTATACACCCCCCTTAGATTCTCACAAATGTTGACATTTCGTTGAAACCTTCGTTTTCATTTTTGCAGAATGTTGATCGAAATTAAAGATGGAATGGTGTGTTTCATTTTCCATAATTGATTTCACTATCATATTTGGTTTATTTGTTACAATTTGAAGTTCATCTGAAAATATTCAAATTTCAGAAATGCTAAATGAAATTTTTAAAAATCTTTAAAATTTATATATTTATTAAATAATTAAAAAAAAAAAAAAAGTTACCATTAAAAAATGTCGTAACAGTAGGTTTTTCAATAAAATCATTTTTCACTGAACTGCTTCCATTCAAAAGTATGTATTTTGTGAATTTCTGCAAAAATGAAAAAAAAAAAATAGAAAATAAAAAAATAAAACAATAAAATTTGAATTTGAAGTTATTATAGCTTCTTTTCTTTTTAAATGAAATTTAAAAAAAAAAAAAAAAAAAAGGAAATAAAAAAAAGTATTACCTTTTTGTAATTGCCAACATTAATTATAAATGTATCCTGATTACTAGCATATAATGAAAGTTCATCTTTTGAATAATTATTTGTGATTGGAATGACAAATACCGTTGCGCCTATTTCTACAAATAAAATAAATTTACAAAAAAGTTTATTCGAATGAAAAATAACAAAATTAAATAAACTACTTTTGCAATATTTAATTACTTTAATAAAGCTTAACTTTAAGAAAATAAAATAAGTAAATTTCAAAGTTTTTTTTTTTTTTTAATGCTTTGTTTTTTTTTTCAATCATTTTCAAAAATAAAAATTAACGTTGAAGTTTAGCAGTAGTTGTAGAGATTGTTTCTATTGAATCTTTCGTACTACCATCTGTAAGAATTATAAAAATGTGTTGTCGAGAATTTTCATCAGGAATGTTTATTTGTTGTAATGCAGCATTCACAGCTGAAATATTAAAAAAAAAAAAAATTTTTTTTTTTTTTGAATATTTCATGTTGAATTAATTGTCTTAATATTATTGAAAATTTTTTTTTTTTAATCAAAGTATAATTAAATTTGTCATATTTAATCAAATCTAGCAAAATTGAACATCTTATTCTGATAAAATAAAATTTTTAAATTGATTTCTTTAAAATTAAAATTAAAAAAAAAAAGCTCCTTAGTTTAATTAAGAATGATAACTATAGGTTTTTATTAATTTAATATAGTTTGCATAATCATATATAATTACCTGAATCAAATTTCTAGCACAAATTTGTTATTAGACTTTGTAGCTCAAATTTAGACTCAAATTTTAAAGCTTTCTAAAAAGTATTCAATTCAATATATTTCATTCGTATTATTTTCTATTTACATATTTCATTTGAAAATAAGAGAGATCAATGTTCTTTTGAATAGAAACTAAAAGATTATTTCTTGCAATATTAGCATTTTCTTTTCAACTTTACCTGTAAGCTTAATTTATAAGCTAAATTAGCATTTCTTACCTGTTGATACTGATACATTGCTATATTTATTTTGAAGTTTTTCCACAATATTCAAAATATTTTCCTTTATTATTGATTTGTTCAATTCCACTTGAACGTGTGCCTTATCGTTGAATGTTACAAGCAATATTCGAATTCGTGATTGAGAATCAATCATTTGTAAACTTCGAAGTAATTCTCGCAAAAAATTTTTCGAATTCTCGAAATCATCATCTGCTAGTATTGATGTGTCAACCAAGACGATAAGATCAATGGAATCTGTAGCAGCAATATTTGAGAGTAATAAATTTAATTATGTAATTATATTGGTTAATCTATTAATTATTTTAATTGGTAATTTTTTTTAAATTTTAATTTTAAAATTCCATAAAATATAAGAGAAATCAATTTAGTATTTCATTGATATTTTTGCAAATTTTAAACTATCGCATAGATTTTTTTTCCTTTCTATTATTCATTACATTTCTAATATTAATTCCGAAACATTTAAAATTGCAATAATAGAATTTAAACTTATCAGACAAATAATTAAATATTGTAACTTCAATGATTTTATATATATCAAAGCTTCTACAAAGTTAATACAAAAGTATAAGTATCATTATCAATTGTAAAATCTCATATAATTATTTGCATTATGATAATGCATGCGTGCAAATAACACACTAATACTGCAGCAAGTGCAGGTTTTAATATAAACATGCTAGAAGTGCACGAATTCTGCATGCAACTAACTAATAAGAATTGCAGTCATTTGAATAAATAGTAAGTAATATTGTATTTTGTTTATAAAATGGTACCATTGTGAGTTTGAATAGATTCGATAATTGGTAATGATCTGATATCGATCAGCTCATCAGTCTCATCTATTTTACCTTTTATTAGTTGTTTACCTGAAATTAAAAATTATCATTTCAAGCATTAATTATTGATGATAATTTTGTTTTATTAATTAAATGATAAGAAATACTACTTACTTGTATCAGTAATGAATTGGTTAATACGTCCATCTACGTAAACTTTCCATTTATCTCTTGTAAAAGCTTCCAGCTCAGCAAATCTATATTGTTTACTTGTTGTTATTGCATAAGTAATTGTTTCGTGTAATTCATGCAATTTTCTGAAATTGTTTATTTCATTGTTATTTGTAAACAAATAAAAAAAAAATTATTAATTAAATGATTGTGTTAAAAATTAATGAAATATACTTGGCAGTTTGTATGATAGAATGCCATGAATCTTGTTTACTACCATCGGAAATCAAAATAATTATTAGTTGAGCATTTGGTCGTCGAGATTTTTCGGCATACTACAATGACAACAATGATTAGTAGTAATAAATGATGATTAGCAAAAGATATTCTTTAAAAATACTTATAAAAATTTACTTTAATAAATACTTATCTAATAAGGTAATATAAAACCTGAGTTAGTAATGTGATTCCATTCACCAAAGAAGAATTATTGATTGTATATTTGATAGATTTGAAATGTTGTAGAATTTGTTTTTTGGTTGTCGCTTTGCCCCATTCTAGATTTAATTTTGCTTCCTAAATATTTCAATTTATCTTTTAAAATTTCAATTTATCTTTTAAAATTTCAATTTATCTTTTAAAATAAAATTAAAATTCTTTGATATGATCAAAAAAAAAAAAAAAAAACTTAAACTTAACAATAGATCAATTGAGAGAAATATTAGAAACATTGAAAATATAAACTTTTATACAATGATAACAATATGAAATTATATTACACAAATAGTAGCATTTATTTCAAATTCTGTTATTGAAATTCGAAAATGAATTTACTTCCTTCCAATACTTAATAAAATTTATATTACTTATCCATCTTACTTTTTTTACGTTATTATTTTAAACTAAACATGTTGAATAGCATTCATAAGTTATTCTCGACATTCATTTTAAATATTTATTATCTAATAGCACTTAATAATACTTACTTGATTTATAAACTTATTAATAATACTTACTTGACTGAAAGTTACAATAGCTATTCGGATTCGCTCTTCATTGATATCTTTATCGATCATTTTATTAACCAATTCTGTTGCTAATTTTAATTGATTTTTTAAATCATCAGATGAAGCAGGCGAAAGATCAATGGCAAAAAGAAGATCCAAATTAGCAACTGGCTGAAAGATCTGTATACTCAATAATTATTAATTATTATTAAATGGATAAAAATTGAAACAATGTTTTTAATTTAATATAATTTAGTAAAAAAAAAAAAATAATATAAATAAGTTAGTAAAATATGTAAGTAAGAAATTAATTACTAAGTGCTAAATGAATATGAATTAAAATTAAGGTATTAATTAAAATATATATATATATATATATAATATTATAGAATATTAAGTACCTTAGCAGTAATACTTTCTTCATTTCTTCGTTCTTTTTCCACAATTTCATTGATCCTTTTTTTGCTATTTGCTAGCATTTCAGTATTATTTGCTTTAATAATTGACAAATTCAAATCATCCAATGAATTTGCAAAATTTGAATTAGCATTTGAATTTACATTTGAAATTGAATCCTTGGCTAATTCATTTTGTAACTTCAAATTTACGTCAGTCATAGTGTCACCATCAAGTACGCTTAATCTTCCTTCCGTGACATTTGCTACAGGTAAGTTTGCTCCTACACATTGATTAATTAGTGAAGAAATTGTTCGAACAAATCTGAAAAAAAAAAATGGAGTATTTTTAACTGAAATATAGTGGTTCTTTCTTTTTTTTCGTAACATATATTGCAGTACTTGCAGAATGACATGCACTGCATGCAACATGCATGCACATTAAAGATTTTCACATGGATTTATTGATAAAAAACATAAATACTTACCGATTTTGTTCTGCCTCAACATAGACTCGATTGATATCACCTGTATAGAGTGTTAGCTCATTTAAGTTATGATCTCGACTTATTGGCACAGCAAAAACTTCAACATTTGCATTTTGTAAATTTTTACCAGCCATTTGCGCCACATGCCAAAGTTCATGTCCATTTCCATCCGATATTAAAATGAATATCTGCAGCAGATATATATTTACCTTATAAATAAGTTTAATATTAATTTTAATAAGATTACAATTAATATTCCTCAATACTTTCATTATCAATTATCATTATTAGAAGAGTACTAATTGCGCACCTGAATTGCATCATCTCTCCGCCATCGTAATAAATCTGTGACAGCTAAGTTGACAACTTTTGCTATTCTTGTACTGCCACCGGTAAATTTGATTTTATTCACTTTCTCCATAATTTCATTAGGAGTTTGATTAATTTTAAATGGAATTACTACATCAGCTGATGATGCAAAACGTATCACAGATACCTGTAAAAGGTTAAATTAATTTATTACATTACAACAAAGCTATCATATAATAAAAATGATTAAATTTAACTAAATAACAAAGTTTATTGAAATGAAAATACCTGGACACGTCCATCTTCTAGTGCTGCTGGTATCAAAGAACTAATTAAATCATGTACCAATTTGCGCTCATCCTCAAACACATTAAAGACAGAACCGCTTGAATCCAAAGCAATCATAATATCTACCTGTGAATTAGAAATCATTTTGAGGGAAGCAATTAGTAAATAGAAGATAATTAGCATATTTTATTCAATTTATATTATAAATATTTAAAACTAACTTTGTTAGCTTTACACGCTGCTTCTAAATTTGATTTCTTTTTTCGTCCTTCTTCTTCTGTTCCATGCATTCGAACTGCTGCATGCAAAACTGCTTGCAAAGTTGTATCGTTTATATTACTATTTCTATCGAATGATTCGGAAAAATGCATACATCGAGCAATCGTCTATATTAAACATTTTTATAGGAAATTGTTTTAAAATATATATATAAATTAATAATAATAAAATAATAAAAATTAATAGTATATATAATAAAAAAATAATAATATAAAATTAATAACAAAAAAAATTTCATTATATTATATTAATAAAATAAATTATATTAACAAAAATATATTGAAAAATTAATAATGTAAAATCAATAATAAAAAGAGAAAACATATTCATTATATTATATTAATAAAATAAATTATATTATATTATATTAACAAATATGTAGGTAAAACAATTATTGCTGCAACAGTTATTTGTTTTTTTATGTTTAATATATGTGATGTAAACAAATAAATAAGTAAATAAATAAATAATAATAACCCAATTCTATGCTAAATTTTTTAAAATTTTTGCAATTCAATAAGTTAAGTAAATCAAATTAGTATAAACATTAATTAATAAATGTTATTGTTACTGTTATTGCAATAAGTTAGTATTGTATTTGAAAATTTTTAATGAAAATTTGTAAACAAATCTTTTCTTCTCCATTTCAAATATTTTTTATCAATTAATGACATACTTTTCCTAACTCCTCAAAAAAGACATTACGATCAGAATCTGTCGCATATACATGTTTACGATTTGTAGTATAACCTATAAGAGCCGGAAGATTTGCATTCTTTGTTGATGCAATAGCAAATAGCGCCACACCAATGCGCTCTAAGTTATTTCTAAAATAGAAAGAAAAAAATTTTTTTTTTTTTTTTTTTGAATCTTTTGAAAAAGATAATATTCTATTCATTAATATGCAAAATTTATTATGATATGATCTTATCACTTCTGATATGATTTCTTTTTTTTTTTTTTTTTTAAATAAAATACTAAGTAGCACACTTACCTAGCTTCCACTGTTTCAGCTATCAGATCAGCAGATATACCATCATGAGCTAAGATGATTAATTTGTTCGAGGTAGGACGATGGCTACTGATAAACTGCTGTGTAGCTAATTCAAATGCTTGTGCAGGTGAGCTGTCAAATTCGGTACGAGCGCTCAGTGTATTGATGTAATCTATTACCTGTATAATAAGATATACTTAATTGTTTACTCTATTATTATTATTATTACTATCACTATTATCATTAATTAGTCATATGAAATGTACAATAGCTGCTACTATTTATTAGCTATCAAAAAATCAAAAACAGTTTATAATAATAGCTAATCAACTATTAAAAATTAAAAAACAATTCATAATAATAATTAATTAGGTATCAAAAATTAAAAACAATTTATTATAATAGCTAATTAACAATTAAAAATTAACAGCTAATTAGCTATTAAAAAATTGCAATAAACAGTTAATTAGCTATTAAAAAATTAGAAAACAGTTTATAACAATAGCTAATTTATGTATTTATCGTTTCATTTTAATTAATTCAAAATGATGAAATACTTCACAACAAACCTTTCTAGGTCGAGAAGCAAATGGTGATACAATTGGTAGTAAAACATTGGGGTATTGATGAAATGCTATAATACCGTACGAGGTATCACGTTCCACTGATACCTTTTCTAAATACCTAAAGAAGAACTCATATTATACTACAATTAGCTACAGCCAATCCTTCTCTTTCCAATTATATATGACAATTATAAAATGACACCTGTCATTTTGTTTACTACCTTTATGTGTAGGTAATAGTAATAATATTGAATTGTCACATGCATGTCACTTCATGATACTACCTGCCATCGATATATGACAAAAGCACTTGTTTGTCATATCATCATATTATGGTATCTGTTATACCATAATTTCTGTCGCATACATTTTGATGCTTTTTCATACCTTAGTACATCCGGTAAGAACAATTATGCAGCAGTGACCAATAGCGCCCACCTGATAATATCAGTAATTCTATTCCGCTGTTTGTTGAAATCGGTGGTGGTATTTCGTTCATTAATGTCCACCAAAAATATCACATCTAGTGGTCTTCCTTTGCACTCTGCTATAAATTACAAATTAATTAGTCATTTTGTTCATCAAATAAAATATTGTTTATTTGTCCATCAAATGAAAAAGCAGAGCAATCAAGAATTACTTTTTGTTATTATCATTTTATATCAAGAAAAGTGCATAATTAATTAGCAGTCAATTACATGGTTACAACTGCGCAATTAATTTGCTTCAAAAATCATTGCCAATTTTCTGAATAAGTTTAAAATTTGATTATTAAGTTAAAAGATACAATTGTTCTTTGCATCATCACAATTATAATAATATTTTTGTCATTATTATCAGATATGAAAAAAAAAAAAAACGACAAATTCGAGAGGGCGCAAACAAACCTTTATTTGAAATTTGTGCATTTAGCGCTATTGCAAACGATAACAATATAAACACCTGAAATATTCCAAATATAAACTTTTCTAGATTAGTAACATTCAAAAGAATAAAGAGAAATTCATTAGTTTTTTACACAGTATTTGTAAAAGCGCAATTGTCCTTTTTTTTTTTAAACAGTCATCATTAATTAATTTGAACAAAATGAGTAAAGAAGACACATACCGCCGATAAGAAAAGATGCGCTTTCGTCATCAACAATAGCTTTTCGCTTTCACTGAATTTCTCTTTTCTTCGTTTCAATAATTATCGCTCCAAAACAAAAAAAAAAAAAAAGTAATGCAATGAAGTTGAAAATCACAATTTCTGTTCAACTTTGACCTTCTTCCTAGTAAACAAAATTTATTAGATGTTATGTGAAATAATTTAATTAATTATTTGCTAACATATGACAACAGAAAAAAAAAAAAAAACTTTATTCTTATCTTCATTTTCACATTTAAATCAATTAAAATCACTACTATCCAGAAAAGAAAAATAAAAAAACATTTGTATTTATAGAGAGAATTGTCATTTTTTAGTGTCACAAAATCTAATTTGCGATTTGTTTACATTTACAGTAAAAGAAAGTAATAATAAAATTTTTGCAAAATATACTATAAAAGAATATACTTAGCAAAATAATTTCAATAAAAAATTACATTTTCATTTCTTTTCTCGAGAAAAGAAAAAAAAAAACGAAAAGAAAAGAAAATCTTTTATTGTTATGCTGTACTTATAATAAAAATAAATGAAATTATAATAAAAAATAAAAATTAAAAAAAACGAAAAAAGAATAAAGAAGATAGCAGTAATAGAATTTGATGATAAATTAATGAATAGACGTAGGCAAAAGTATCATCAAATTGATGATAGTTGATGATAAATTAAACTGAACTAAACTGATTGTGTTCACTGATCATATGAAAGAAAAGAAAAGGAAAGGAAGGAAGTACTACGAGTAGTATGATGATCAAAAGGAGACAAATACACTAATTTAACTAATTTATTATTCATTCAAAAAAGAAAAGAAAAGGTAAAAAGTTTATCAGAAGTGAAGAAATGTATCAGATAAGTTACAGTTACAGTAAGTTTAATTAATATTAGAATTTTATTTAATGATAAATAATAAAATGTTATAATTGATGATAGCAAATAAAATAGTAATTAATAATACTTATTATTAGAATTTTATTTAATGATAAATAATAAAGTATTATAATTGATGATAGCAAATAAAATAGTAATTAATAATACTTATTATTAGAATTTTATTTAATGATAAATAATAAAATGTTATAATTGATGATAGCAAATAAAATAGTAATTAATAATACTTATTATTAGAATTTTATTTAATGATAAATAATAAAATGTTATAATTGATGATAGCAAATAAAATAGTAATTAATAATACTTATTATTAGAATTTTATTTAATGATAAATAATAAAATGTTATAATTGATGATAGCAAATAAAATAGTAATTAATAATACTTATTATTAGAATTTTATTTAATGATAAATAATAAAATGTTATAATTGATGATAGCAAATAAAATAGTAATTAATAATACTTATTATTAGAATTTTATTTAATGATAAATAATAAAGTATTATAATTGATGATAGCAAATAAAATAGTAATTAATAATACTTATTATTAGAGTATTATTCAATGATAAATAATAAAGTATTATAATTGATGATAGCAAATAAAATAGTAATTAATAATACTTATTACTAATAATAATAAACAATTTGATATAAGTGATATGAAAGGGAACAAAAGAGGAATGACAGTGATAATTTGTTGATTAAATATTTTTCCCTTCAGGGTAATTTATTGCCAGCAATTGAGAAGAGACAATAAAATATATCAAAACTATTGCTGTATTGTTAATCATGATATTCATTGAACTTGATTAGTTAAATTTACTCTCTTCTTCATACATCCGCATGTTAGCGCTTTATACGCTGTGTTCATGCGCAATTGTCCATCTTCTTCTTCAGATAAATTTTTGAATAGAATAAAAATAAAATTTCATAGTATTATAAATTATGATAATGATGATGAAGCAGTAAGTTTGAAATTTTAATTTTTTTTTAAAAGATCAACAAAAAAAAATTTTTTCATATATATTCTCCTATTCATTTTTATATTTTCATGTAAAAAAAAAAAGAAAGAAAATGAAATCTGTCAATTATCTCTCCTAAAAATGAAAACTTCAATTTTATGCATTTTCAAAAATAAATGTAAACATTTTAACCTGAAATTTATTTTTTTAATTTACATGATATAACTACTTTTTTTTCCAAATTTTCTTAGAAAAAAAAACAAGAAATTTATAGTTTGCATAGAAAATAAGAATTAAAAAAAAAAAAACTGCTTTTCATCTTGTTGTATTCTTCAATTCGAAATGATTATTAGTTTTTGAATTTTCTTTTTTTTCTTTTTTTTTTTTTTTAGGTACTTACACAAGGTGACACAGTACCGTGTCACATCATCTAACATCAAATGAGATTACCTGTTTCGAGATTCGAGATAACATATATCTTTTATTAATTTTTGAAGAGAGAAAATGCAACAAAAATATAACTTTTGAATAATTTTAAATTCTACAAAAATGAAAATACAGTCTTTTTTTTTTAATTTATCGATGTCGCATGATTAATAAATAAATGTCTTTCAAAGCAAATATTTACAAACAAAGACGATTAACAAAGAAAATTTAAAAAATAAAACGATACAGCGTCCAAAGATTAATGGTTCCATACAATTTTAATGTATGATCACACTCTCTTCGTTCACCGCCTTTCAAATATTCAAATATTATCAAAATTTTATTTTTAACTGAAAAAAAAAAAAGAGAAAAACTAGGACTAATTTTTTTTTTTTTTTTTGTTCTAATGCAGAACGTTTAACAAATGAAACTGTTAGTGTCAAAATTTCAACTTATTTTGAAAATATTTACTTTTTCCCTTTCAAATAAACTGAATTAATTTGAAATTCATCAAATCTTGTGTATTTGAAAATGAATATTTGAAACTTTTTGGAAATATTTTAATTTTCATGAAAACAGCAATGGAAAAGTTTTTATTTGAAAATTTCATCCCAAAGAATTTTTGAAAGATTTAAAAATTTTTTTTGTTTACTAAAAGTTTTATTTCCTCTCCACCATTATCTTCCAATACTTATTTGCATGCATTACTTAATTTTTTTTTTTTTTTTACTTTAAAATACTTTGGAAAATAATATTGATCGAATGAGAGGAAAATGTTTTATCGGTTTGTTCCACTTTTCCATTCAATAAACTTTTTTGTTATCAGTGGTTGAACAATATTTATCAAATTATTATAATTATTATCAGTTTAGATTTGCTCATTTACTGATAGTAATAATTTTATTTTGTTATGTCACTTTTAATTTTTAAACTGATAAATTTCAAAATTAGATATTGAATATGAAAGTTATTATTTGATTTCACACACAGTTTTGTATTCCAGAGCAGTTGTTAATCATTATTTAAATTATGTCAATTTAGTTTACATTTTTGTTAAACATGTATTTGATGTATAGGTCTCGTAGTAAATTAATTTAGCAGATTTAATCGTATGATTTTAATCTCAAATTTTTATCGGCAATTTCATTCAACTCTTCCAAATAGAAAAACGATCCTATAATAAATATACTTTCAGAATTGCCATGCTCAAATGAGTCGGTCATTCATTAAAGGATGCAAAGATAATTTAAAAAAAAAAAACCTTTAAACTAAAGTTTAATTTACGAACTGTAGTTGCAATTTATAAAAATTTAACATTTATAAATTATATAACAATATTTTGTAAATAATAAAAAATAAAGTTACAAATTTATAAGCATTTAATTTACTACTTTTCATTACTGATAAAATGATTCATTTGGTCAATACATTAAGCAACTTACATTTACTCATTACTGATAGTAACAACAAAATTTAAAAAAAGATTCCTAAAATAAAAAAAAATTCAAAAAAAAAATGAATAAAAAAAAACAAATTTCCTGCCTATAAATGGTATTGATAATTTTTTATTTTGTTTTGTTTGTTTGTTTGTTTATTTGTTTATTTTTTTGCCAGAAGCTATATCTTTTTAAAATTTAAAAAAAAAGTTATTACTAAAATTGAATATGATTACATAAGTTTGATATGAAATTAAAATGTACTGAAAAAATTTCACAAAACAATAAATGATTATCATTTATTTGTTAAAAAGAATAGTAAATGATAAGAATCAGATAACTTTTCCGGCAAAAAAAAAAAAAAAAACTTTTTTTGATCACAAAAGTATATTGCTTCTGCTTCGGTTAACATTTTTAACCGGTTTTTCTTCTCTTCTTTTTAATCACACTCATTTGAAAGTAAATTCATTTTCCGTTCTTCTTCTACACTCAATCATTTTCTCTAGATATCTTTCATTCTTGGAAAGATATCAATACTTTATTTCCTACTTACTATTATCATTCTTATCATACTTTAAACTGTTATCAGCAGCACTAATTATCAGTATTAACTATGATACTACCATCAAATTATTATAGTGATAACATATTGATAATACATTATTTAAAACAAACTTAACTATCAATTAAAAATGAATAAACTAGAGATAATGTGATTCTATATTTTATTATTTTAACAGTTGATTTAGTCTTTTTTGAGAGAGAGAGAGAGAGAGAGAGAGATGAATTATATTAATTATAATGAAGCATGCATTCCTTTCTTACCTTTATCTTCTTTCATTAACCTAAATTTCAACTTTTTTTCTCCAACAACTCTAATCAAATATCACTCTTATCAGTCATGTTACATATTATTCAATAATATCTTAATTTAGCAACAACAATAACAATAACAACAACAACAACAATAAGAAAAAAGAAAAGTTTAACAGGAAAAAGTATCAAATGAAATTAAAAATATTTTTCTTCAAAGAAAAATGTCATACATTATAAGAAAAGAAGAAATTGCTGTATGGATTGATGGTAATAAGATGAATTAAAAAATTGTTAGGGTATTAAAATTTAATAGACAGGTCTCTCTCTCCCTCTCTCTCTCTCTCTCCCTTTCTCTCTCTCTAATGATATATCTTAGATTAATTTCTGATCCCAATCCTAAAAACTAGATATGAAAGATAAAGTGCGTAGTTTGGATGGATGAACATACTGATGTGTAATCATTATAACTGAACTGCTGACCCATTACATTCTTCCCGAAAAATTTTTCATTCCCGAAAAACTGACCTAATGTCATCCTGTCACAAATGTCATCCTTTTTCAGTTCTTTCTCTTCAGCAACAGCAAATAGAGCAATGCAATTATCATCATATCTTTTCTACAATATGGCAGTTCATTTTCTTTACTCTAACAATAACAATAACAACAACAACAACAATAACAATAACAAAAAAACTGTTATCATCCTGACACAATTTCTGACATCTAACAGAATTACCCATTTCAAAAAAAAAAAAAGAAATTTTTAATCATTTTAAAATAATTTTCTCTTTCTTCTTCTTTCTCACTTTCATTCATTTTCTAACTTTCTTCATAAATTTGAAAAAAAAAAAATCATATTGTTCAAAAAAATCAAATTTTTACAATAATTATTTCATATTTTTTTTTTGACAATTAAATGAAGATTTGAAAGAGAAAAAAAAAAGAAAAAAACATAGCAAAAAATTTTTTGATTATTCAATCAAAGAAATTAAATTGATTTGACCTGAGTGAAATTAGGATAATTATTTATATCATAACTAAGTTTGCTTTATTTTATATATTTATATCATAACTAAAAATCCTTTAGGTAGAATTCATCGCCAAAAAAAAAGGAAAAAAAAAAACAATTTGTTATATGTAAAAGTGTAAAATTAAATTTGTTGTTTTAATTATTTCAACAGATTGTACAATGTGATAAACAATAGAAATATGATATGATGGATATTTCAAACTAATAAAATAATTTCAAATTGACAATAAAAATTATAATGTAATCATTTCGAAATACGATCGATGGGACAAATGCGCCACATTTCATTCATGTAAAAGAAAAACAGAAAGTATTATAATTTTAGGATTTTTTTTTTTGTAAAATTAACAAATTATGAATTTGTTTCATATCTAAAAAAAACAGATTGTTTTGTATAAAAATGGAATTTGAAAAAAAAAAAAAGTGACTAAAGTAGAGGAGAAATTAGAAAATGAGCGCTGTTGGGGGGCAAGGGTCGAAGAAATACGAATGTTGAACCCGAGGAGGACATATACTACTGCTCCTAGCACTTCAAGGTCAAATATTTTCAATGAATAAAATAATCAGAAAAAAAAAAAGAAAAAAATGTCGCACAGTAAAATGAAATGATTATCATCAAACCGTTTTCATTGTTACCTCAATCTTAAAACATAATAATTCGAATTGAAATTTAAAATTAATTTTGAAACATTGATATTCCTAATATTAATATTTACATCTCATAAATACTTTATTTCAAGTATTCCAGATGAGATATGAAATTATTTCATGTTTGAATTATCTAATTTCAGTTTTGGATATTCACGTATAATACCCACGTGGATATGTTACTTTTATCCATTCACATTTAGCTTTTCAACAATGACTGATTTGAATTATTTTTGTTTGAAAATGAACTGAGAATTTCATTTGAGTGTAAATTTCTAACAATTATTTGCTTAATTTTATCAACATGACATTATATAATTAACTAAAAGTGAGCACTATATGACAACAGAAACATTACAAAAAAAAAGAACATTAAGTATTCACGTATAGTAAGTAAATAAGGCACTTCTATAAACAAACCGGATAGCTTCTTGTAATTCTTGTTACTCATTTTCCGGAAAAAAAAACCAGAAACTGTAAAAAAAAAATTTATGAATATTTAAATGAGTTATTCTAATATGAATGTTAATTTTCGTGGTAATGATACAGCATCACTGTACAAACAACGATCAATACATCCATTCATCAAAATATTCCCGAGAGTTATCAGGATTAACCTTATTCACAATAATACTGTAATGAAAGGGTAAACTTATTTTATTTTAGAACAACTTCTCTCTAAAACTTGTTTTCTCAATAATCATCTCAAATAGACAGAGAGAGAGAGAGAGATAACCGGAAAACTTAAATTGGGGATATTTTGTTGCATGGAAACAATTGTCATGCAAAAACGACACTTATACTTTCACCGGTCAATTCTCGAGGGGCACCCAACTTGGTGCATATGTACCGAAAAAAAAAAAAAAAAGGAAAAAACGACACAATTTCCGTAACGAAAGACATTACGAACAACGATAGTTACACAAGACATAAAATTAAAATTAAAAAATAAAAATGAAACCATAAAACGATGTAAAAAAAAAAAAAACGATGAAGACGTGCAAATATTATACAGGTTGACGTACGTGAAAAGTAAATATCACAGTAGAAATGAATGACTAAACATCGGTAATTTCATCGTTACTGCTTACAAGCATCATTTTATCATTGCCCTCTTTTAACATTCTCTTTGGTGGTATTGGTGCATTTGGCCTTAGATCTGAATGTGGTGCTGAAATAAATGACACAAATTTATAACATTTAACAAAATTTATCTTTTTTTAATCATTGATAAAAGAAAAATAAAATTATTGAATTAATATTATGATTAAATAAACAACAACAACAACAACAACAACAACAAAAATTTACCAATAACAGAAGACGAAGGTTCAGGTTTCATATCAACGGAAACAAAAGAGTGTACACGAGATGGTGCATTACTGTGTATTGTTGTTGTTGTTGCTGGTGATGTTGATGATACTTCTGTCTGTGATGTAATTACGGTAGTAGAAGACTGCATTGATTGATTATCAGATGATTCTTCCATTTCATATACTGGATTTGAGAATGTTGTTGATGAAGCTACAGTATTAGCTTGTAATTGTACCATACCGTATTCCACTGGTGTTGCATCACTCTACAGTAAAAAAAAAGAACAATAAAAAATAAAAAAAAAAAATAGAAATGAAATGAAAAGAAAAAAAATTTTTTTTCTAAATTTCTACTAAATGAATTGAAAAAAAAATTTTTAGTGAATAAAAATGAAAATTTAAACTTACCGGTTTCGGATCAAGTACCGGATTGCTAAATGAGATAACATTTCCATGAAATGAAACAGCTCCATCAGCAGCTTCATTCTTTTTGAAGAGTAATAAACGTTTTCTATAAAGATTCGTTCCCACTAGAACCATTAGCGCAATACAGCAAGCTAACAAAGAAATGAACAATAGCGCTGCTAATAAAGCATTCGAACCAAATCGACCAATTAACTAAAAATTTAAATTTATTGCATTTATTTTATTTTATATGAAAAAATTTTTTTTCTTTTCTTTTACTCAAACAATCATACATTTTTGTTAAACTAATCTGTAAATTATATATTATTAATGTGTTATTGTTAGAATGTATAGCAAAGAAATTCTTTCTTTTTTTTTTTAATCATACAATTATGCAGTAATACCAACAATAGCATTTGACAATGGCATTTGATATAATCGTGGTTGACACTACATTACTCTACTATCATTTCCTATTCAAATAATATTATCAGTTAATCACGTGATAACTTCCATTCCTGAATCATAAAAACAAACACACACCTGTCGAGATACAGTAGAACCTTTCTGACATTGTTCTCCTTCGAAATCACCACAATCACAATAACCATCCAACTGGCAGATACCACCGTTCTGACATTCACACTGCTTCGGAATTGGTAATTCATCAACTCTAGTACCGGAACATGAACCATCCTGAAAAGATAAACTTTACAGATGAGTTTCTTGAGATTATAACAAAAAAAAACCAAGCTAATAAAGACATATGATTAAACTGTTCAAAATTAATATTCATATATTTTTGAGAAATATCTGATGAAATTTCATGATGAAACTTCAATAACTATTTCGAAAAAACATTTTCCGTTTTAACGCCTTAAAACACTGATAGTAATTAACTAATTAATTATCTTCCCATCTAATCTCTTTCTTTTTTTGTATGTAAGATGCATAATAATTTCATCAAATATTATAATTTATTATTTACTTAGCCATTATGTGTCATCAATAGCTTTAAAAAAAAAAAAAAAAAATTACGTGAATAGTACGTATCGTCAAACAATCTAAACAAATCGATGCTTTTCGTAACTAGCTACCGTAATAGAATTAAGAATACCTATTACACTGAACACATATTTAGTTTTCGAAGTTACGATAACATGTCACGTCTTTCACGTAAATCTCTTTTAAATTAGAAATGCTAGCTAACTTAAGTTATTAATCTTCATTCAAAATGAACCAAATTTAATTTCCCTTTCAATAATTTTATTATTATCATAATTTAACTTTCAATATTATTATATTAATATCCCGTTTAATTTTTTTTTACATTATTAATAATCTCTTTTAAAGGCTCTGCTTAACTTCTAATATTGATGTATAATTTCTGGATCACGTATTAATCTTTCTTTTCTTCATTAAATATATATTTCAAACTAACATTAAGTTGTGGTGATTCATCAGGACATAAACATGTGTATGTATTTCGAGGTAATTCAGCACACAAATGACTACACGTAGCATCTGCGCAAGTTGATACAGCACGTGACGTATCACGAGCAAAACGTTGATATATACGAATACTATGTGCATTTGGTATATTAGAAGCTAATACGCTGATACGACCACGACCAAATTTATCCTAAAATTATATCCCATTTCTTTGTAATTCATTTCATTTTAAGATATTAAGAAAGAATAATTATCACAGATACCTGAACAAATAAATCTTGGCTTTCTTTAGAAGCCCAATAGAGATTATTCTCGAATACATCTACTGCCCATGGCATTCGATTATCAATAATTACTGTTGTTCGCTTTGTGCCTATAATTTAATCATAAATTAACTTCAATAAACAATACAAAAAGATCATTGATTTTTTTTCAATCAAATGAATGATATAAAAATTATTAACCATCTGGTAAGACTGATTCAACTTTGCGATATTTCGGATCTGCCCAGTATATACGATTGTCTTTACCTTCATCAACAGCCAATGAAGTTGGCGAATAAATGAGATCTTTTACAATAACCTGAAAAAAGATGATTATTTAAAGTAATACATGAATATTCATCGTTAGTTTAAATTTATTTACACAAATTGCTTTCTCTTAATATAGTTGCAAATGTCAGAGTTATATTTCATTTTCTTTAAAAAATCAAATATTTATTTCAATTCATACATTACGATGTTTTCCATCCATATCGGCACATTCAATTTTTGCATCAAATCCGGCATCCGCAAAACATATTCTTCCGATCTGTGGCAATGTAATAATTGCAGTTGGAATATGAAGTCGTCCCTTAATTAAAGTTCGTAAATAACGACCATCCGATTTTGCCAAATAGATTGTACCACCAATGCCTTTATTTACTGTTTGCTCCGTTTCTCTTTTTTTCCTGACTATAAATCCTGCAGCTTCATCATCTGATATTGCTGCGAGATATATATTCCTGTAATACAGTATTTGATTATTTATATAATCGATTTCAAAAATTTTTAAATTTCTTTTAGTGCTTCTTTTAACACAAAACAATAATCTACAATGTGTAATAATTTTTGTTTTGGAAGAATTAATTTCATAAATTTGTATGATTCAAACTATCTATGCTAAGTGAAAAAAAAAAAAAAAAAAAAAAACGAAAAATTACCCTGTAAGATAATCAATGGAAAGTGCAGAGGGTGACGATTTCAAATCTTTGAAATCAATATTAAGTTCTTGACCAGCATGTGACTGATTACCTGAAAATATAAAACTATTTTCAAAAAAATAGTAATATTTAGAAACATAAAAGATAAAGCGAAAAAAAAAAATCTTTCTTCTTATTATTATTAAAAATATTATACCTAAATGAATGGATGAGAAACAGAAAATGATTATGTACCAAATATAACTTAAAAAAAAAAAGGTACCTTTAGGTAGAGCTGATCGATAAACTTTGCGCTTTTCACTATCAATCCAAAACATTAGCTCTCTACGTGGATCAAAATCCACTGCAATAATATCATTCTGATCAAGCATACCTGCTGCATGACGATTTGTTTCACCTGCATGTGCAGGATTCAACTGCACTACTTCACCATCTGCAGCTATCATTATCAGTGGTGGATCACTCTGCAAATTTTAATAATATTTAAAATTTAGCTGATATGCTTTTTAATAATAATAAATAATATTTTACAAAAAATGCGAATTTTAATAAAAAATATTTTAAAATTAAAAAAATTTTTTTTTTTAACTTATCATTTAGTTAATGTAATGCAAGATTAGCTTTTTCTTAAAGATAAAATATGATATAAACCTTAGCACGACAATCTTTGCCAGTCATTGCTCCTACAACCACATTATTTTCATAATCTTCAAGACAGCGACAAAGATATGATCCTTTGGTATTCATACAAATCTAAAAATAAATTTTTTTTTTTTTTCAGATGAAAAAACCAGTAGAACCATCCTATTGTGCATTTATTAATATATCAAATATAAATATCATTCAATAAAACTATTTTAATAAATTGTTGAATACTTAAATATTACCTGAGTACAGGTATTATTTCCCATACATTCATCAATATCAATACAGTCATATGGATCAACCGGATTCGGTTGAAAACCATCTCGGCAATGACAGTAATAACCATCTTTAACATCTGTACACAAATGTTTACAATTTCCATTTTCATTATTTGTTTCACATGTAATTCCTTTTCGTTTTGCTGTAATAATTTCTCATTAAAAAAGAAAAGAAAAAAAAAAAACATTTTGTAAAACAGCAAAATTTTAACAAATATTACCAATTAAATGAGTATATTTCATTTAGAATGAAAAGACTAAAAATTTTGAAAGAAGAATTAGAATAAAAATTAGCTTTATCTATGATGACATTAAATCATATCACAATTTGCTATTTGTTTATCATATTTTAAAATTAAATTTCTAATTTTTACATACCACATCCAATTTCATCGCTAGCATCACCACAATCATCGTTATGATCACAAGCCAACGATGCATTAATACATTTACCATTGGTACATTTAAATTGATTTGTGGTACAATCACCATATTCAGAGAATGAGCTACACATGGATAAATGCTCATCTGAATGATCAAATTGTCCACAATCATTGACACCATTGCACAACTGTAATAGAAGCAAAAAATAAACAAATAAATAAACAAGTAAACAAATATTTCATTATTAAAAAAAAAAAATATCATACATACGAAGATATCATTAATTGTAACCTGTAAAATATTAAGACAAAGTCTAGAATGAGCACAACGAAAACGAAGAGGTGGATCACAGAGAGCACTTTTGCAGTGCTCATTTGTCTCATCTGAATTGTCACCACAGTCGTTATCACCATCACAAATAAATTTACGTGGAATGCATACTGAATTACCGCATTCAAATTCAAACGGACTACATTCACGACGATTTGGCTAGAAAATAATTCAAATTATATTTACGATGATTTAGCTAAAAAAAAATAATGTCAATACCAAATGTAAATAATAAATGTTTAGAGAAATGATAATTTTTAATGTTTTATTTGAAATTACAAATACTACAAAAAGATTTTATTTGCATATAATATATTCTCAAATAATATTCTCACATAATTTTCGCAGTGACTTTCATCAGAAGCATTTGGACAGTCACGTCGACGATCACACCAACGATGTTCAGGTATACAGGTACCATCGTCACATTTCATAAATCCTGGATTACAGTCACGTAATTTGCATTGAGATTCATCTATACCATCACCACATTGTAAAGTACCATCGCAAACCTGTAATTTATTCATTTTTTTTTTTTTTTGATCATAAGTCGAAAAATGTTCAACTAAAAATTTCACTAACAGACAATTTGAAAAAAAAAAAAACCATCAAAAATTAGTTATTCTAACTTATCTTTTTTCTTTTAATCATAATTTTGAAAAATAACGATACAATTATGTGAATTTATCATCTTACTTTATTTCCAGGAATGCAACGACCATCAGTGCATCGAAATTCAGATTCTGAACATGGTCTTGATGTACCACCACACGATGGATCTGTTTCATCGGAATCATCACCGCAATCATTTTCGCTATCACACATCCATCTTCTGCAAAGAACAAATTTATCTTATCATGATAAATGATAAAAGATTGATTTATTTGATTTATTAATTGATTTTTCAAAAATTCAATGCTTTTTAGTGCACAGAATAGAATTAATATAATACTAACTTTGGAATACATTTTCCAGATGTGGCACATCGGAATTCACCAATATCATCACAAGTTGGACAACGATCTCTTATTTCATCGGAATTATCACGACAGTCATCCTGTCCATTACAGAACGCCCAATTCGGTATGCATCTATAACGATATGACAATTAAATTTTAATAAGCACAATTCTGATATCAATATCAAATTTCTATAAAGAATCCCAAATTCATTTCAAAATTTTTAATGAATTTTAGTTTAATCACTTTAAAGGACTAATTAAGCAATTTCGAATATGAGAATGATTGGAAAAAATGCTAATTAAATCTTTTTTTTTTTTTGTCAATTTCTCTTTGGACAAGTTAAAGAGAGAGGGAACCTGTAGGAAGAAGAACATCGAGTCCATCCCTTGCGACATTCAATACTGCTACATTCTGAAGGTTCATCTGAACCATCACCACAATCATCATCGTTGTCACATTTCCACATTTTTGGTATACATTTATGATTTGAGCAACGAAATTCTTCCGCAGTACAATTGCGCTCCTTATTTTCTTGAAATGAGAAATTAAAATCAAAAGCAAAAAAAAAAAAATAAGCAATCATAATTGAAAAAATTACTAATTAATTGCACTGAAATTTTATTAAATTAATCTATAAGTTTTATATTTATGATATGAAATGAATAAAATGAACAAACTGCATATAGCATCTGCTTCATCAGATCGATCACCACAATCATCATCACCATCACAAATGAATCTTTTTGGAATGCATTTTCCGGTTGCTGAACATTTGAACATCCATGGATCACATGGCTTATCACATTCTACCTAAAGATTAGAGAAAATTCAAAATTTGTGCTAGAAAATTGAAGATAGTTCTTGTTTATATTATATTATTTTATACCATTTTCTTTAAAATTATTTTATTTTTCTAAAATATATTTTATTATTTTTTAAATATATTTTTTATATACAATGAATTATATAATTTATTACTTTTTTAATTATATTATATTTTATACAATTACGAGTACATTTTTAATGTTTATTTTTTAAATAACAAACTATTACTGCGCTAACCCTGTGACATCTAAGTAATGAAAATTAAAAATGATTACCTCATCAGAACCATCACCACAGTCATCACTACCGTCGCAAAGTTGAAATGGTCGTGTACAGTTATGATTGTTGCACTGAAATTCGCCAACAGCACAAATTCTCGGTCCTAAAAAATAATAATGGATAATTTAAAATTAATATAATTTATATACATTTTTTTTTTTAAAGTAAGAACTTTTAGTGGAAAGATAAATAAGACAATGAAAATTGTCTTCCATAACAGATATGAGAGGAAAATAAACCTACCGCAAATGTCTTTTCCGGGTTCATCACTACCATCACGACAATCCGGCTCTCCGTCACAATACCATAATTTTGGAATACATTTAGCATCATCACCACCACATGCAAACTGTCGATCAGTGCAATGAGGTTCACAAGTTTTATTATCGTTAAGCAGAACAAATTGATCAGGACAAGAACATGTAAAGCCAGGATCATGTGCAGATAGTAAACATAAATGAGAACATTCACCATTATTATCACCACATGGATTCTTATAATCCGGTTGACGAAATGGATGAACAACCTGAAATAAGGTAAATTATGATAAAATAAAAATTTAACTTAAGCCTGAAAAAAAAAAAAACAAACAAATGATTAATTAGAAGAGAAAATTATTATAGTTTGAATAATCCAAATAAGAATTCAAAAATTAAACAAAATAACCCTAATATCATTTGGTAATTGTGTCGTTATCTTTAGCACTGTTTCATTCATACCAGTCCATTTATTCACTCTAATAATTTCTCGTAAATTCCAATCTGACCAAAATAAATAATCATCAAATACAGTCATCGATGAGATATGTGATGTACGTTTTGCTGGAATATGATGTCTAGCTCCACCATTCAAATTCATGAAGCCAACTTCATTTAAGTGCGCATCTGCCCAGAATAATCTATAAGAAATTGTTGTGAAAAAATGATAATCGAAATGAACAATAATTTAAAAAATTTAGTTGCATTTAAAATGATTACAATTTTACTGGCTATATTTTATTACTTTATCTTATCCTAGCCATAAGGTTGTCAATTATTGGCCAATATTCCATCATAAGATTGACCTTTCGGGCACTTTTTTTTTATACATACATAGGTAATATAGTGTACTGCCGGAATATGATGTTCAGCTCCATCATTCAAATTCATTTAAAGATCAAGATCAGCTACTTACTTATCAGCAAAGAAATCAATAGCAAGTGCATTTGGCCAGCCAAGATCATTTTCAGCAAGTTTTTCAATTGGATCAGATAATTGTGGAGAGCCATCCAGTGATACTCGACCAATGTATGCTTGCAAACTCCATTCCGTAAAATAGAGATAACCTTTTCCTGGATGTATTACTATTGCCTGAAATTAAATTATTTAATATAATTCTTTATTTAACATACAGATAAGTAAAAATTTCAAATAATTTCAAAAAAAAAAAAAAAAAAGAAGTAAATAAACCTTTGGTTGAGCGATACGATCACGAATAAGTGTTCTACAATAACGACCATCCAATTCACAAACGCGCAACGAACGTTCCTGTCTGTTCAACATGTACAATTTGCGCCCAATCCAATCAATTGCAATACCTATAATAAAAATTAAGTTTATATTTCTGGTTTCAATAAGAGTAATTATATATATATATAAAACTGCTGTATTTGACGTATGCAAAATGTTACACTTACGTGTAATAACACGTAAAAACTTATTATATTCTTTTTATTCTATGATTTATAAAACATCACTTTTTTTTATTTCAATGTGCAACAATTTCATACATTTAAAGATCAAATGAACAGTTCACTTTTCCTAATTTTGTTTGTTTACTTGTTTACATTACTTAGCAAATAATCATAATAAATAAAGCTAACCTTCAGTACCAAAGACATTATGTCTTAGAACGACCTCATAAGAATCAATTGGTTGATCTAGCTCTTCCATACTAACTCTATAGAGTCTGAGTTTACCAGAATCCACAAGATACACCTAAAATATAATAGTAATATTATTTTAGAAATATTTTTTTTTTGTTTTTTATTTTAAAAAATTTAATCTTGAATTTTTATAAAAAAAAAATTCATAAACAATAAAATGACTCAATTAAAAATATTACCTATCAAAAATGAATTTTTGTATAATTAAATTTACATATTCTCATAAATTTTCCCACAAAAGATTAATAATTTAAATAGCTAAAGAAAGAATAATTTTAGATAGCTCTTACTTTTCTTTCTTTCATATCAATATCCATTGATATAACATTTTCAAATCCACGAGCTACTAACTCATAATTTTCTCCATCTAATGTAAGCTTCCGTATGTAATGTTTATTTGCAAACAATAACCATGGTTCAGGATCCTAAAAGAATTTTTTTTATTTCAATAAAAATTTTATTTTAAATTAATAATCATTCTACTATTTTGCCTTCTTCTTTCTTTTTTTTTTTTTTGATTAAGAAAAGGAAAAATTTTTTTAAAACACACCGTACTAATTCGTTTACATGTACGATCATCACTTGATATGGCATATCCATCAGTGCACCAACATTTGTAAGTACCAATTTTATTTTCACATTTTTGACTGCATTGTCCAAGACCAGCTAAAAATTTCTTAAAATTAAATAAAAACAAATTGATGAAAAGAAAAGAAAGAGAATTTGATTATGATGTATAAATTATTTAACAAATGTTTAAAAAAATTATGATATATAAATTATTTAAGAAATATTTAAAAAATGAAAATATGAAAATTTCTAGAACTAATTGCTAATTAATTAATGTGATATGTTCAATATGTAATCATGTAATAAATAAAAGGGAGTTTGGCTTATTAAATAAGTAATTTCACATAATTTTTTGTAAAATAAGTAATTTCACTTAATTTTTTTGCCAAAAATTTTCATCTATTATTATTGGAATGGAAAAACATACAAGATAGAATGATGAAATGAGGAAATGTTTGATATTTTTTAAAATTTATCAATAATAATTCTTTGATATTAAAATCAATATCAATAATAATTCTTAAATATTAGTTAAAATCTTAAAAAAAAAAAAAAAGAAAACAACAGATTAATATTCACTTTCACATTCATCAATATCATGACATGATTTTTTGTCATCTTTGTCGAGAGCAAATCCTTCGAAACAATCACAACGATAATCAATTGGTAAATCAATACATTTTTGCTCACATAATGGCTTTTCCGCAGTGGTACATTCGTTAATCACTGTAAAAATTTCTCACATTATATATTTTTATTCAGTTTTTTTTTTTTATTTTAATAATTTTTAAAAATTAAATTGCTTACAGCATTTTGATGACTCATCTGATCTATCCAAACAATCATAAATTCGATCACAAACTTTCATTTCTGCTATACATTCACCGCTGCTACAGCGGAATTGTCCAACAGAACAACTATTTGCTATCAATGCTGAAGCACTCTTATCAGTACAATCCTGAAAATAGTTCTCATTTAATTATGAACCAAACAAATTAATTGATCACTAATTGAGCTAACAAATTAAAATGATAAATAAATCAATGACTGTCACATTATTTTATTACCTTCTCATCACTACCATCATCACAATCATCATTTCCATCACATTTCCAAGAATTAGGAATGCATTTGTTATTGCTGCATTGCCAGAATTCAGGTTGACATTGTGAGTAAGCTACAATTGAATATTTTAAAGTATTAAATAAAATATATATTAAAAAAAATTTAATATGTAAAAATAAAATAATAATAATAATTAAATTAAATATATAAAAGAAAATTTTATATGTGAAAATAAAATAATAATACTAATAATACTTACTACAATTAGGATGTTCATCAGAACCATCAAGACAATCATTATCGCCATCACATTCCCATGAAGCATGAATGCAATGTTTGTTAGCACATCTAATATACATACATATAATATATACACATAAACACAAACATATATTTCAAAAATTTAATAAAATATTAAATTGAAAAGGTAAAAAAAAAAAGTTGGAAATATCTATTTTAAAATGAAATAAACCTGAATTCTCCTTTATTACATTGTTTCTTCTCCACTCCACACAATTCCTTACTTTCATCTTCTCCATTTGCACAGGTAACATCACCATCACAAAGCCATGCTTTTGGTATACATTCATATTTTGGTTGACTAAGATGAACATTTGATTTGCAATGAAATTCCTGTTCAGTACAGGTACGATTGCCTTAAATGAAATAACTAACATTGAGTATTATTTCTTTATCATTTATCATCTTTATTTATAATAATAATAATTAACATACCACAATTATGAATGATACTTTCATCACTTGCATCACCACAATCATCTTCACCATCACAAATGAATGCTCGACTGATACATTTTCCATTATCACACTAAAAAAATAAATCAAGAAAGAAATAATTTCAAATAAAATGTAATGATTTCTTGAAGTGAATCCTGAATGGATCATTCACACCTGAAACAAATATTCTCCCAAGCAAATACGCTTTCCATTAGAATCTGTGCAATTTGTATGATTTTCATCCCAAGCACCTTCACCACAATCATTGTCACCATCACATTGCCATGTTTCCGGTATACATCGACCACTTGGACAACGAACACTAAAATTTGCATTATATTAAACTTTTTTTTTTCCTTTCGTTTTAAAATATGCTAAAAATTTCTTTTGAAAAATAATAGATATCATATCATATCTTGCTAATAACAAATGCTTTATATTATAAAGTTAAAATTTAATGTTATTAAAAAAAAAAAAAAAAAGTTTTCATGTTACAGATTAATTGAAAAAATAAAAGTATTAAAGGTATAAAAAAAATTTTAGTAGATATTTTATTAGTAAGAGAAAATTTTATTAAATATCTTATCATCAAGAAAAACTCACTAATGCATAGCACATGGTTGATTCATGCAAAAAAGCTTATTTTCATCTGCTTTATCACCACAATCATTATAACCATCACAAAGATCTGCTGGTTGAATACAAATATTCGTATTTGGGCAACGTAATCGTACACCACGGCAATCAATGGGTAAATTTGGGCATGTTTCCTTATTTTCATCTGATACTTTCTCATCGTGACAATCATTATGACCATCACATACCTAGGAAGTAAATATATGGCTACCAAAAATATATCCTATAGATAAAAGATGAAAATTTCATTTTTTTTTTTTTATCACAAATATTCCCAACAATATCTAATTAGAAGAGAATAAAGCAAATTAAAAGTCAAAAATTTTCTAAGTTTCATTTATTTTAAATAGCTAAATTTTAACACAAATTGTACTCAAATAAATTCTAGAATGCCTAAAATATTGTCGAATATGTAAATGAAATTTGAAAATATTTTTATTTACTTTACCTTTGTGCTATTAATACAATGTCCATTAGAGCATTCAAAATGTCCAGATGGACATGTAGTTGAGGTAGTGATGCAATCTAGTTCATCTGAATTATCACCACAATCATCTAAATTATTGCAACGAAGTTCAGCTTCAATACAACGTCGATTGGAGCAGAGAAAATATGGCTCTGGGCATACTCGTGTATCTAAATATTCATTTTTAAAATAAATTTTGTTTAAAGAAAACAAACAAACGAACAAACAAATAAATAAGTGAATAAACTGTCAATAAAAAGTAAATATAAAAAGTAGGTAGATCTTTTTTTTTTTTTTTTCTAAATTCAAATAGAAATATAACTCACTGCAATATGTTGGATGCTCATCTGAACCATCGGCGCAATCATGCTTACCATTACATGTTGCGCTAAGTGCTATACAGATACCATCAGCGCATTGGAAGTTATACGGTGGTTGACATGTCTTAAAAATAAAATAAATTAAGTAAGTGATAATACTGCAATAGATAGTAACTTTTATATATTATATATATATTTTTTTGCTAGAGATTTCTTGCCCAAACATAATTTTGTTTTTGTTTATTTCAAAAGTAAAAGTAAATGTAACAATTCTATCTTTACGATGCAATAACAGAATTCCCCAGAATTGCAGGTAATCTTGCCCAAACATAATTTTGTTTTTGTTTATTTCAAAAGTAAAAGTAAATGTAACAATTCTATCTTTACGATGAAATAAGAAAAATTCCCCAGAATTGCAGGTAATCTTGCCCAAACATAATTTTGTTTTTGTTTATTTCAAAAGTAAAAGTAAATGTAACAATTCTATCTTTACGATGCAATAACAGAAATTCCCCAGAATTGCAGGTAATCTTGCCCAAACATAATTTTGTTTTTGTTTATTTCAAAAGTAAAAGTAAATGTAACAATTCTATCCTTACGATGAAATAAGAAAAATTCCCCAGAATTGCAGGTAATTAAAACTAACTTGAACAGTTTCCCGTGGTACACATTGAGTAGCAATATCTTTTCCAGGTTCTGTGACAAGTTCAAATGAATCATTGCAAGCGCATTGTACCTTTGAAGCTATCGTTTCACCATTTGATGCAATTACATGACAAAGCTAAAATAGAAATACCAATTTTTATCTTTACATATTATCAAATTATCATTTTATTATCTGAATTATAACGCAAAATTGGTGATAGTATTAGCAATGCTCGTCAAATATTAACGATTTCTCAAAATGATAATTTGATAATTTCGTTTAATTAACTCATTTGCAAAAAAAAAAATTTTTTTTTTTTTAATTATAATAAATACGATATATAAAAAATATAATATATTAAATACCTGTTCACAACCACCATTATCTTTTTTGCATAAACCTGATGTGTACGTACTGCAGAATTGATTACGAGTTCGTGTATCTGCTTCAGAAGCAATAACTCTTAATGTTGATGGAATTCGTCGATCTGATACTACATTTTGATAATTGATACCAGAGTTCTTAAAAAAAAAAAAAAAAAAAAAGATTAAAAAAAATTTTTTCTTAAACTAAAGAATATGTATAAATAATTTGTTAAGTAAAATGCTACCTTATTCATACGAAATATTCCATTTGCAAGTGGATCACTCATATATAACCATTGACCCCATATATCGAGACTTTTAGCACGATATCCAATACCAACTGTACGTCGATTTTTACCATCATAATCTGATGATTCAATATTTAATCTGTAATATATTCCTGTAATTATCAATTTATTTATTTATTTACTTTTTTGTGTTTAGCAAACTTTATTTAATTAAATCAATTAACAATTGCACAAAATTTCATTTCACTTTTTTTTTTTTTTTTTTTGTTAATAATTAAATAGTAAACAACGATAGTTTTAAACAACAGCAATTATTACTTGTTAATATCAGCCCAATAGAGTCGTTGCTCTCGAAAGTCAATAGCTAATGCTGCAGGTAAACTTATACCTTCCTTCAGAATTACACGTCGATCACCACCTGCCATATTAGCACGTTCGATACGTGGCTCATATATACCTATAATCAAATTTATGCATTTTTAAAATTAAAAATTTATAGCACTGTAAATATTCACTTCATCTTGTTATATTAATGCTAGCAATAATATTAATTATAAATTTAATGAATACAATTAATCACAGAGTTTTCTGTTTTGTTTTTTTTTTTTTTTTTTTTTTTTTTTTTTTTGTAAATGAGAAAATTAGAAAGAATTATTTATTATTATCATGCAATAAATGATTAAAAAATTTGAATAGAATTCTAGCAAATTTATGCAAAAGAATTAAAAAGATTTGAAATGAAAAGAAAACAACAATTTTTGATGTTTAAAATTAAATATTTAAAATAAAGGAAAATTGACTTTTTTACATTTATTAAAATTAAAATAATAATAAAAATTAACTTACCGCCAGTTATCTTATAACCACTATCAGACCAGAAGACAAAACCTGCACACGGATCGAGAGCTAATGCATATGTCCAATCACCGTTTGCAATTGTTGCTGCATGCTCACCTTGCACATTGATCACATACACTTTACCACCCCTGCATTACTAAAGTTCCGACTGAGAAAACAATGATATTTGATAATTAGCAAATATTTTATTTTCATTATAAAGTTAAAGTTAAAAATGATTCAAATGAATTCTCAAAATTATTTTCTCAATAAAATTTCTTTTCAAAAAAAAAAAAAAAAATTTCTATTTACGAATCACATAAATTCTTTCTTTTTTTTGGACCAAAGATATAAATAATATTTTATATCTTTTTATTTAATTTACAAATTTTATTAGCTAAAATACAAAATTAGTTAAAATTTCACAACAGCTTAGTTTTTAATGATTGCATTTTTGAGTTTACTATAAAAGAACTCACAATATTACTTACTAAATTACTCTATCGATACCTTAGGATACTCAATAATTTGATGTTTGTAAACAAACATTTTCACAGTTTGTTAAACTTTAAAATCTATTTTGCACTGAATCAACAATTTAAGTATCGTTTGTACACGTTTGTGTCACAAATTGTCGCTTAAAAATCATCAAAAAAACTATGAAAATAATGCACCTGCCAGTTGTGAAATATATTTTATGTGTCAACCAATCAAGTTTCATATCCGAAATATGTCGCACTGAGTCAGCAATTTTACTTTTTGTAGGACCAAAAATAAGTCTGTAATTTAAAAAAAAAAAAAAATTAATGAAATTCAGTTATGATATCAAATACAGTAATATTAATGTAAATATCACTTTAAATAATAATAATTTTAACAATCGTTAACCTTCGTTTAGTTGGTTGATTTATTGTAAACCAAGAAATATTTGCGCCATTTGCAGACTCCGTAACCATATAAATACGTCGTAAATTCACGTCAACATCAAATGTTTGTAAATTTTCAATTTGAGGTAAAGCTTCTTTTAATGGATTTGGTGCTTTTACGTCTGGTTCAATTGGTGTATCCACTATATAGTTACTATCAGCAAACATTAGGAATGTTTCTGGTTCTGCAAAAAAAAAAAAAGAAGCAAAAATCCATGTGTTAAAGAATTTATTCATTTCTTTTTAAACTTTAAAAAAAATGACATTTTCATTTCCTCACTAACTGTAGTATTACCTAACAATGATGATATTTATTCAGCTATTGATAAGTGATAAAAGAATGATTGATACCTTCACAAGATCTTCCCTTCAATACGCCACGAGCGCATGCGCATAAAGGACTTTGACTACCCGGTGAGGCAAAACAAAGTTGGGCGCATGGTGTCTTCCTCAAATTATCCGTTATTTGACAAGGTGATGATGCTTTTGGCTGTACTGATTCATCAAATACAACAACATTTCCTAGATCAGTTAGACCAGCAGCAATTGTCGTTGGTGATAGTAATAATGATGTCTGATTTGGGCTACTAAAATATGTAACTTCTAAAGATTTAGCATATTTTTATAGATAATGCAAAAAATTAAGCAAACTATTTTCCGAAATAATATCATACTATTATTAGCTGTTAAATTGATTCATTCATTTAAATTTTGTTTAAAATATTTCAATTTAAACTATTGGGCATTGTCTTTTTTGGCTTGAAGTTTTTGAGCATCATTTTAATGCTTTTTTTCTTTACAGATGCTACTAAATTTTTCATTTCTCACAATGAAACAAAATATTTAGAATAAATTTTAAAAGTTTTTTTTTTTAAATGAAATTTAAAAAATGATGGAACATTTCGAAAGATAGTGCGGACATTTGGATTAAACATTTATATTATAAATTATAACATAAGTACAAAACAGAATACTCAAAAACTTTATTTCCCTCCCTCTCTCTCTCTCTCTCTCTCTCTCTCTGATAACACAACTGATATGATTTTATTTCTGATATCTAACCTGGATGCAGAGAATACTTTTTCTAAACGATTATCCGTCCAGTACATTGTTTGTCCAAGTAATGCAATGCCTGCTGCGGCGGCAATGTCACTTCGTACCAGTTCCACAGGACCGCCATCAGCTCGGACACGATATATTCCTAATTATTAAGATTTGATTAGCTGAGCAGTAATTTTAAAAGAACATAATGAAAGTCTTAAATTATATTTTATCTTTAATTAATTTTTTTTTTTTAAAAAATTTTTTAATTATTATATTTTAATTATAATTATATTAATTTTTTCTTAAATTATACTTAATTAACTTTATTTAAATAAATATATTTTATCTTAAATATCTTTAATTAAAGTCCTCAATTAAATTTCGACAAAAATATAAAAAACAAAAACAAAAATATAAGACAAACTGTAACTTACCATCAAGTTTAGCATCAGTCCAATAAATCATATGACTATTGGAATCGATTATTAAATCTGTTGGTTCAGCAATATTTTCATGTACAATTACCTGTCGATGACTTCCATCCAGGTAAGCTCGCTAAATTTAATATCTATTATTACTAAAATTTTTTTTTTTTGTATTAATCATGAAAGATAACAATTTCATGCAAAGATTACCTGAATAGATGGTTTTTGACCTTGATCAGCCCAGTACAAATATCTACCAATCGGATCAACAGCAAGAGAAGTTGGCGTTTCAGTTTTTGTTGAGAGTAAAATTTTACGATGTTTACCATCTAGTTGACAAACTTCAATATGTGTTCGATCCGAGTCAACATTGATAAAATATAAGTTATCTGCAACAATAACAATAAGAAAGAAAAAATTCACTATAGTAAAAAATAATTATGAGTTAGTGATAAAATATTATCAATTATTATACTATTTTAGCAATTCAATATTTATATCTCTATACAAATAAATAAATTTCTTAATTAAATTATAAAAATTTCAATCAGTAATGAAATTGTTGAAAGACTTACAATTAATCCAGTCGAGAGCAATGCTTCGTACGGTAAATGAACCAAAATTATCTCTGACAATATTCTTCACTTCACCACTACCCAAAATAACCTTATAAATGCCACGATTTACACCTGATGTTTCTGCTACGAATAGCGATTTACTCTCAAATTCATAATCAACTGCTGCAATTGATGTACCACCAATTGGTTCCATTGCAATTGATCTCTTTTGTTCTTCTTTCAATCTGATAATTATTTTATTATTAATAAATTATTCATTTCCTATTTATCAATTTAATCTCAAAATTACTAATTGTATGTTAAATGATTAAATAAACTTACGGTATTCCAGTAATTTGTGTCTTTGTAGCTACAATCAAGAATGATTGGTCAAAAAGTCTACAATGAGTGGCGCTTTCTAGCACATAACCAGTTGCGCACATGCAATAATGTTGTGAAAATGCTTTTGGAATGCATAAATGTTCACAATTACCATTATTTGTTCGACATGGATGTGAATGTTCAGCTGTAAAAAGAAAAAAAAATTGAAATTATTTAAAAGATTTAATTTTTTCTTTCTTTCTTTTTTTTTTTTTAGTACTAATGTTTGCTTTTAATAAATAATAAAAGTAAATATGAATTCAAAAATTTTTTTTTTTTCTTGCTACATTATTTTTATTACTAAAATAAATATGAAATTAAATGATATTGTTTAAATAAATTATAATAATATCATACCACTTCGACCAGAAATAGCTTTGATATTGATTAGCTGATCAATATTTTTTTTAAAATGTTGAAATTGTGATAATTGACCATCACTGGATAAGGTAGTTACTTCAATACTATCAAATGCACTATCTGCATAAAAAAGTCGATTGTTAAAGAATGCAATACCACGTGGTTGCTTTCCAACATCATTCAAAATATAATGACGATCTTGACCATCATATGTCACATATGATATCTATAAAAATTAACATTAACTTTTTGCATTTCTATTTTTTTTATTTAATTTATTTTTTATAAGGGAAAAAAAGAAAAAACAGAAGTATAACTTACTCGACCAGCTTTTGATTCTGAGAAATATAAGCGTTGATTGATTGTATCAAGCGCTAAATGATTCAATTCAGTGAGTTCATTTGAAACAATAACCAATGCATTTTTACCATCTAAATCAGCTCGAGCTACCTCAAAATAAATCAAATCACACATTAATGTACTATCACAAATTGAATTAATCATACATATATTAATATAAAAATCAATCAATCAATCAATCGATCAATCAATTAAACAAAGGAATTAATTACTTTTGGTGAAATAGCACCGCTACCACGATCTAACCAGAAAAGAAGTCCACGATCAGAATCGATTGCTAAAGCAACCGGATTTGCTACTGCTGTAGGAGATTGATTATTGTTTAGCACAGTTGCACGATACTACAAATTATAATTAATTAACTAATTAATTAATTATCTCTATTTCAACCAATTTTATTAGCAAATGAAGAAGCAAAGAACATAAGAAAATATTTTCTAACTTACTTGCATATCTTTAGTTCGTACTACTTCAATTGTTTGTGAAATTTTATTTGCAACATACATATTTTGCCCAATCCAATCCATTGCCATTGCATACGAATCATCGGGAATTTGTGAAGCAATTATCTAAATTTTATTATCTTTTATCAATTTATCAATATTTTTAACTTTTATCAATACTTTTTTAGCATTTATTTTCCATTAATTAGGGTGACTAATTAACCTATGTTCGATTTATCTAAATTTTATTGCTTTTATAAAATTATCTTTTCATAAAGTTTTAATACTTTTTTTAACATTTATTTTCCATCATTAAAATTAGGGTAATTAATTACCTGTGTTCGATTTGTCGCAGATGGCAATACTTGAATAATTCGCGATTCTGGAAGACTATTCGGACTAATTATTCGACCCGTTGTTGCATGTTCCAAATAAAATATCTGAACAAAGAAAAAAGGATTTTTTTTCCATCAAAAAATAAAATTATAAACTTAAAAAGACAAAGTTTACTTTTTAGTTATGATTATTAAAAAAATTTTCTCTATCATAGAATTTATCCATCTCTTACTGCAATAAAAAATCTACAATGTTTTATTACCTCAGCTGATTCCGGATCATAGTCTGCGTCATACGCATTACTAAGACCAGCTAATGGTATCATTCCGGAAAGTGAAGGTGTTCCGTTTACTGCATCATCCATAGATAAGCCAAAGATATTTGTCTTCTGGATTAGCATCAGGAATGGTTTCATATCACTGATACAGTTTTTACCACTTGTATCCAAAATTTTACCTAACGGACATTTACATGTGCTTTTCTGCAAACATAAAAATTTGTTGTGCAATTGTTTAATTTCTTTATTGATAACTGTACAATTGCACTAATAACAAATCTATTAAATATTAATGATAATTAACTGATAACATAGAAATCATAACAAATACTATGATAATGATAAAAGTTAGAAATGATAATAAAAAAAAATTTTTAAAAATTGATTTTCTTTACAAGATATCATGTAAAAATATAAAAATAAAAAAAAAAAAAGAGAGAGAGAAAAAACTAACCATATCTTTACCGATTAAGCAAAGATCAGAGCAATGATTAGTAGCACAAGGATTCTCGAAATGTGGTTGTAAAACAGGATGTACTGCAGTAACACCAAGAGCTTTTGAGAATGTATGTGATTGATATTCTGTTGATGTACCATTTGGATATTTTGGATAAAGTTGAAGTCGCTGTAATCGTCGATCACTGTAGTAAATAATATCTTCAAATATTGCCAAAGCATGTGGATGTTGAACAAATTTTGTTGATGATAATACTTGTGTACGACCTGAAAAAAAAAAAAAAAAAAAACAAAAATTATTTATAAGTTTTTTTTTTTTTTTTTGATAATAACAAATAAAAATTTTAAAAAAGAAAAAAAAATCAATAAAAGAAAAACTATAAATTATGTATGTTTAAAATTTTCTAATATAATAATAATAATAATAATAATAATACATTCAAAACAAACCATTTCCATCATAATTAACAAAATCAATATAGTCCAATTTACTATCAGCAAAATAAAGACGATTGGTTGTTAAATCTAACGCAATTGTATTTGGCCAATAAATTTTTGAATTTACCAATACACGTCTCTCTGAACCATCCATATTTGCTCTTTCAATACGTGGATTCTATAAACATATGCATAAATAAATTTTGAAAAAGTAATATTAAGCAATCAATTAAAAAAGTTAATTTAGCAAAATAAACATACCTGACCCCAGTCAGTCCAAAATAAAAGACCTTTTCTTGGATCTACAGCAATACCACGTGGTTGATCAACATTTTCATGAATTAATACCGCTCTAAAAAATCAATAATGCATTAGCATTAAATAAGTATTTTTTTGTAAATATATTTTTGTAAACATGTTTATTTTTTTTTTCAAAATTTACAAGTAATGAAATAACTAAGATATTAAACAAATAAAAAATAATAATAAATAAAAAACAAATTTAGTGTAAAAAATTCACTCGTGCTAATTAATTAATTAATTAAATGATATAGAAAATAAAAAAAATGGAACCTTGCACTAGATCGTTCTAATGATGCTACTTCTATAGTATTTAGACTGGAATCAACCCAATATAAATTACGCGCAATCCAATCCAACGCAATACCTTCTGTCACATCCAAACCTTCACTAATAAATACTGTCACATTTGTACCATTTCGTGTTGCAGAATAAATTTTCTTTTCTCTTATATCTGACCTAAAATATAATTTATTTATCTAAAACTTTTAATATACATTTAAAAAAAAAAAAAAAAACAAATTGCAGGAGTTTCTCGAGAATATGCAATATATAAAAAGTAGAAAATATAAAAAGTAAACATTTATCTTTCATATGCAAGATTAATGTTTACTTTTTACATTAACAAATTAACAAACCAATAAATTCGATCTTCCACTGAATCCCATGCTAATGCAATCGCATTCTCCACTCGTGCTTCAAATGTATGCCAATTCTCGAGAAAACGATCAGACCAATAAATACGATTACGATTTGATACATAGATACGCATATCCTACATATATTGAAAAATAAATAAATAAATTTATTATTCTACAATTATAAAAATGTAGTTAATATATTTTAATAAAGATTATTGTAATTATTACTGATAAGAATGAATATAAATATACCATACCTGAACACCATCAGTAACTTTACAAGTTCTTTTATCAGCATCTAATGTATAACCTTCCTCACAACTACAGGTAAATCCATGCTTTTCATCAGTACAATTTTGACTACATGAACGAGCATCTAAACATTCATTTTCCGGTTCACATTTAGTTTTATTCACCAGCTGCAATATTTTCTTTTCATTAATTTACTAATTAAACTTACAAGAAGTAAAATGTAAGATATTAATTATGCAAATATATTAACAAAAAAAAAATACTTATTTTTGTATCCGAAAAATAATAGTTCATTCTTTTGCAACTTTTTTTTCCTGCATTTATTCTTAACTTTTAATTTTAATTTGTACATTGAAAAAAAAATACAATAAAAACAAAATATACCGCTTCACCAAATGGACATGAGCAAAGAGGACCATCAGGACTCATATGACACTTGAAAGCACAACCAGCTCGATCTGCAGCACAAAGATCTCGAGCACAACGTCCACCTTCATCGGTACCACCGGGACAATGATCTTTACCATCACATAAATTATGAAATGGTATGCAAATATCTGGAGATCCTGGACATGCCATCTAAACAAAGAAATGAATTAAATGAATTTAAAATGAGAAGTTCATAACTATTTAATAGTTTAAAATTATTCTCTTAAAAGATTCCTTAAACTCATTTAATTTCTTAAATAAATTTAAAAATTTTTGCTTTTTATCCACGTATACAATTCAGCAATAAGTCTCACATATATTTCTAAAACTAAGAAATAAATGAATTGATGGAATTACAATTAGAAATACTCTAATCCCATAAATTGTTTGCATCATGTTTTCTTTTTTTTATCATGTATTATCACCACCAAAACTAAATTTATAAAGTGTTGCTGATTATTTTGTGATCAATGATTCAAAATAACTTATCACCACCAAAACCAGATTTATAAAGTATTGCTGATCAGTGATCAATGATTCATAATAATTTATCACTATCAAAATTAAATTTATAAAGTGTTGCTGATTATTTAGTTATCAATGATTCAAAATAACTTAATATAAAAATAGGGAAAAAAAGATACATGTTCAAAAGGACATCGAATAGAAAGTAACTGAGAACGTTGACAACCATGTTCAGCATCTTCATCACTATTATCACCACAATCATTCTCACCATCACAAAGCCAAGTCTGTAAAAAAAAAAAAGAAAATAAACAAATAAATAAAAATAGCATTAACATTTCCAAACATTTACTCAAACTTTCATTCAAAATTCATCAAATATTATTATTATTATTATTTATATTTCATTTTTATATGCAAAAATACTTGCGTTAAAAATGCAGCGACCATTAGCACATTTAAAATGATCTGAAGCACATTGAGTGCTTGAACATAAACTTTCCGGTTCATCACTACCATCTTCACAATCCTGAAATATTCATTTTGTACAGCAGTCCGGTTTTTTTTTTTTCAAATTAATCTTATAATCAGGTAAAATAGTAGTGAGAAAAATTCTGCTTTATTGAATATAAATTTGCTAAAATTTATTCTAAATTTAAAGAAAACAAAAAAAAAAAAAAAATTTGAATTACTTTTTGTCCATCACATTTCCATGCTATCGGTATGCAAAGTCCATCTGAAGCACATGTAAATTCATTATGTGTACACTTATCACTCTGAAAATAATAATACATTTACAAATGGATTTGTTTATTTCAATTTCTTTCCAATTGTAAATTTTTCAATCAATAAATTTGAACTAAATAACTAATCAAAACATTTTTAATAAAAAAAAACACCTGAGAGAAACAGCTATCTTCATCTGAACCATCATCACAATCCTGTTGTCCATCACAATGATTCTTGAGTGAAATACATTGTCGTTTATTAGCACAACGGAATTGATCAGGACGACATAATGCTGATGGACATCTCTCTTTATCTTCATCAGTATTATCATAACAATCGTTATCACCATCACAAAGCCAATAAACCGGAATACAACGACCATTACCACATGTAAACTGTAAATGAAAGTAATAAATTAGTTATTTATATTTATTATTTACCTCTCGGTTTCATTTTTTTTTCTTTTTTTTTTTTGTATTAAAAATTTAATTTTTAATATTAACATAAAAATTTTATCATTTTATATTGTATTAGCTGCATTTTATACTATTAACATCTTTTATTAGTAAATCTAAGATTGCAATTTTTAATTAATCAATTTTAAAAGATTAATTACCTGATTGGATGAGCATGTTGTATTCGAGCACATTTCTAATTTTTCATCTGAACCATCACCACAATCATTATCCGAGTCACATTTCCATTGTTCCGGAATGCATCGATGATTATCACATTGAAACTTTCGTGCTGCACAAACCGGAATTTCACCATTTTTGCAATACTACAAATACAATATACAATTTTAAAGATTTCAGAGTAAAATTTCAAATGCAAAAATCATTTAAATAAACCTTCGTCAATTAATTCAAAAACGAGCATATTTATATCATTCATTCATCATTGTTTATTTTATTTTAGCAATATCAAAAGTGATACATTAAGTTTGAAGTTATTATTAATTCAAAGTTATTATCATTTAAACTAATCTTACCTTAACATCTTCATCAGAATAATCACCACAATCATTATCACCATCACAAGCATATTGTTGAGGTATGCATTTCTTTGTATTATTACAACGAATTGTATTCGGTGGACATTCTTTTTCAACAAAACATGGCTTATTATCTGATCCTTTCTGAAACTTTCTCAAAAATACTTTTAATACTTTAGTTATATCATAAAAGTCTTATCATCAATAACCTTATCATCAATATCCATATCACAGTACTGATAATGATAAGCTATAAAAGATACCTCATCACTACCATCGAGACAGTCATTTTCACCATCACATTTCCATTCATTTGGTATACATCGTCCATTAGCGCATAAGAATTGTGATGAATTACTGGCACATAATACTTCAACAATTTCACGACGATCACGTTGACAAGTACGCATATTCTCTGGATTTATTTTGAATCCTAAATTTGATTTATAAAAATAAACAACAGAAGGAAGGTTTAACAACTCTATTATTTTTTTTTTTTTGAAAAGATTTTTTAAAAAATTAAAAAAAACTTGCCTTGCCTACATCCACATCTTTTCACAAGTGGCTGAGCTTCTGAAGATGACGAACTATTGGGAAGTCCAAAACAAAATTGAGAACAATCACTTGAATGGCATGGATGCTCAATAGATGGATCAGGTATAGGTTGATTAGCTGGTGAACAGGCCTACAAATATTAACTCTATACTTACTTACTTACATTATTCTTTCTAATAATGAAAAAATGGAATAAGGCCAATAATGTTAGCAAAATCTATTATATACTACACAATTACATTTTAAATTAGAATATATGGTAATACCTTACCTTCAATGAAAAAACACTTCGATCTTTGCCAGTAAATTGGCGGATAATTCGACCTTTACCACCATTTCGCTTATTTACACGACGTATTGAATATGGCCTTTGATGTACATAATAGAATTCATCTGCAATTAATTATTCATTAAAAAATTAGAAACAATCAAAAAAAAAACAAAAAAGAAAAAAATAATGTATAAATTATTAAAAGGGGGAAGAAATAATAATTGAAAGTAATAATACTAATAACAATATTAATAATAATAATAATATAGTAATTAATAATAAAACAATAATAATAGTATTAATAATAATAACCAACAATAATAAATAAACCTTTCTATGATTAAGCAGTATCAATTACCTCCAAGTACAGCGATAGCAACTGGAATTGGATTGTCCACAGGTATAACATATGGATTTGACCCATCAAAGTTCATGCAATTAATCGTCTTCAATAAAGTATCACCGTAACAAAGTCGATCTTCCGAGAAATCGATAACCATACTGGACGGTCGTCCGAGAGTTGTATTCCGTATAATGTGACAATTACTTGCATCTGTAACAATTTTATTGTTAATTACAAAAAAAAAAAAAAAGTTTGTTATAATTCGTTAGCTAATATAAATGAGAAATGCATCATTTTTTGCTTTTCTTACCTATCATACAACGATAGATTCTTGCAGGTCGTTGAGCTTCCGCAAAGAATAGAATTCCACGCCACGGATGCACAGCAACAGCAACCGGATCACGTAAACCGTTCAGCAATTGACGATGAATTAGCTGATCCGGATGAACAAGACCCTAACGGTATATGTTTACATTAATAAGTAATACTAAGTAATGTCATCTTTTTAGCATGAATGCAGAAGAAAATGGACCAGAAAAGAGAAAAACTATTGGAGAGAGAGAGACACACACACATTCCTGATCATATTTCTGTCTACCGGTAATACTGGATCAGGTTAAATCAATAATAATTTCTCAAAATTGCTACCATTCTCTCTCTCTCTCTCTGCTTCAAAAATAAATTCTATTATATAGCTAACCTGTTCAGATATTTTGACAACTTCAAGACTATTTCTGATATTGTCAACATAATAAAGTTGCTTTGAAAGCCAATCAAATGACATTGAAACTAATCCATCATTATGGGTTACTAATACCGGGGCAGAACCTTCCCCATCCGGTTTTACCCTAAAAAATGACAATCATCAAATAAGACAACAAAAATTAAGGCAAAAAAGCTATAATTTGTTTATTTAAGAAACAAACAAATGCACTAAGACATTTTTTTTTCAGCAATTATTGAAATGTGTATCGTTCTTGAATAGAATATTTTCTGATCAGATCAATATAGCTAATTATAGGTAATACTTTCTGATCAGATCGATATAGCTAATAATAGGTAATACTTTCTGATCAGATCGATATAGCTAATAATAGGTAATACTTTCTGATCAGATCGATATAGCTAATAATAGGTGTTACTTTCTGATCGTATCAATATAGCTAATAATAGGTAATACTTTCTGATCAGATCGATATAGCTAATAATAGGTGATACTTTCTGATCGTATCAATATAGCTAATAATAGGTAATACTTTCTGATCAGATCGATATAGCTAATAATAGGTGATACTTTCTGATCGTATCAATGTAGCTAATAATAGGTAATACTTTCTGATCAAATCGATATAGCTAATAATAGGTAATACTTTCTGATCAGATCGATATAGCTAATAATAGGTAATACTTTCTGATCAGATCGATATAGCTAATAATAGGTGATACTTTCTGATCGTATCAATGTAGCTAATAATAGGTAATACTTTCTGATCAAATCGATATAGCTAATAATAGGTAATACTTTCTGATCAGATCAATATAGCTAATAATAGGTGATACTTTCTGATCGTATCAATATAGCTAATAATAGGTAATACTTTCTGATCAGATCGATATAGCTAATAATAGGTAATACTTTCTGATCAGATCAATATAGCTAATAATAGGTGATACTTTCTGATCAGATCAATATAGCTAATAATAGGTGATACTTTCTGATCAAATCGATATAGCTAATAATAGGTAATTTATTTGCTTAATATTTGTCTTTGTAAATTCCTGCAGTACTCGGATAATGCTAACATATGTAAATGATAATAAAATATGTGAAAGAAAGAGGAAATAATGTATTATTACATAAATGAGATTAATAACATATCAAATTAGATGAATCATTTGATCGTTGAATATTTTTTTGATAAATTATTTTTATGATAATTTATATGATATGATTTACCTGTAAACTGTATTGTCCATTATATCAGCATAGAAGAAGCTATTATCATGAATATCACATTCCACTTCAAAATACATTCCAATACGACGTTGTGAAACAGGTGATATGGGTAAAATTGCTTCACTTAATGAATCTTGATCTATTTCTGGGAATATACCACGTACTACTTTATTACTACTAAATAATAAATAATCGGTAGAATCAACGCAACGTTTTCCATCAATTAATTTCTGAAATTTTATAATCATTTATATTAAAAAATACAAAAAAAAAAATAAATAAATAAGAAAAATTAGTTTGAAAAAAAGAATATAGTTACTTATATCTGAAAAACATCAGTACTAATTAATTTTTATATTATAAATATTTTTATTTATTATTAGAATAACCCTTTATAATTTTATTTTTAATAAAATTAATGAAAATAAAAATAGAAAAAAAGTGAACCTGTCCTATAGGACAAATACATCGATAGCCAATACCAAGTCCACCAATATCTTTACTTAAAATACACATTCCTTGACAATCTGCTTCAACACATGGATTATCAATTTTTAAACCAAGACAATCACTTTCTTGAGGTCCAGGTTGAGTCATCGGATGATATGCTACAATACCCATCGGAAATACATTATTTTCCTTTTTTGTCCTGTAAACGTTTCATTCATAGCATTAGAAATTAATCTTATAAAAATATCACAAAGAAATGTCTCATTAAATTATTCCTTTTTAAAAAAATTTCAAATAGGTGAATGGTATAATGGCTTATCAAAAATTATCAGTGAATAGCTTAGCTTATCACATTATAATTGAATGAAAAAATAAATTACCAAATAATATCGGTCGGTGAGCCAAACTTTTCAACACGCATAACACCAAGACGTGTCCAATCTGTCCAGTACAGATATTGATCAAATATTGTAAGACCAAATGGATGTGGTACCTAAACAAATTTTTATTTGTTAATTATTAAAAGATAATTATTATTATTGTTAATTATTATAAGTTGATTATTGATTTTAGATGTAAATCACACTAATGATTAACTTTATCAAATGTTTGTGAAATTTTTATTTCTTTCCTCATTTGTCTACCTGTTCTGAAGGATATGAATGAAATAATTTTTCACTGTACAATAATAAAGTAACAAAGTTAGCCCTCTTAGCTTCATAATACTATAAATTTCATCAAAAAATGCTATTCTGCAATAATTCAAATAGAATTTTATCTTTCTGTCAGTTAGTACACTTTTTTTGAAACTATCTGCATTGTTTTAGATATTAATTTTGATGATTCAACAAGAACTACTCTTTAATATTTTATCCAAATAAAGAAAAATGATTAGAGATAAGTAAAATTCTATAAAGTATATTTCAGGATATAATGGATAAGTTAACAAAATACCGTACCATGGTATAAGACTAGTAGAACTAAATAGATTCCAGTTACGAAAATTGGAATTATTCGGCACTGTCATATATGTACTAATCGTTAAATTAAAAGATTAAAAAAAAGCCATTATGAAAAGAGTAGAGTGAGTGACCAGTGGTCAAAAATTTACACTGATTTATAGATGATTTTAATGATCAGAGTGAATCAAAATATGCAAAGTTGATGTTTAAATGGCATTTAAATTAGTTGAGAATGAAAAAAAAAAAAAAAAAAACTAACATTATTCATCCCTTGGATAACTATTCTTCGATCTTTTCCGTTGTAATCGATTGATTCCACTCGATCAACTTTCGGATCAACCCAATAAACCCGTTTAGCGGCAATGTCAACTAAACTTCACATATATCACTTAATATTGATATTTTGGACAGCAGCATGAGAAGCAAGTAGGAAAAGCATCATTTTCTTCACTATGAATAAATATATTTAATAACAAAATAATAATAACAATAATAATAAACAATAATAATAATAAATAATAATGATAATAATAATAAATAATAATAATCAATAAATAATAACAGTAATAATAATAATAAATAATAGTAATAATAATAATAATAATAATATTAATAATAATAAAAATAAAACTGACCTACGACACCACTCACTTGGTGTGTGTGACTGTCAACTAGAGTACGCCGTCGAGTACCATCCATTGCTGCACTTTCTAATTTGAATTGATTTGAAAAAAACATCTCACTGCAAAATGATTTTAAAAAATGTTTAATTTAATGTAACTTTAAATGAGTAATAAATTTTTACTGGCAGTATTAGCTGATTTAAAAAAAAAAATCGTAAATTTAATTAATATGAAATTATTGAGATATGTAAAAGAAATTGAAGTGATCAAAAATTACCCTCTAATTGGATCAAGAGCTATATCTAATGGTAGTACTAAGCCATCAGCAATTAGTACAGTTCTTCTTTCACCATCAAAAGTTGAAATATCAATTCGTCTTGATCCTGACTCAACGATATATAAATGATTCGTAAGCCAATCAACAGCCAAATTTCGTGGAAAAATTAAATTTTTCAAATCAAGTTTCCTGAAATTAAATCATTCCTTTCATTATAACTTACAAAAAAAAACAAATATCAACAACATTTTTTGTGTAATTTTAAAAAAAGGAATAAAATAAAATAAAATAAAACAAACTTAATATTATTTATATCACCACTATCATCAATATCAGCACTGAATGCTGAATGTGACAATCGATCGGTCCAAAACATCTTCTTGTCACCAAAATCAAATCCAATACCATAAATAAATTCACCGCTAACCAATTTTTTTGCTTCTTCATTTGGATCATTTGGATTTATCCTGATATAAAACTTCCATTAAAATAATAAACCTATTCAAGTATTTATTAAAATACAAAATAAAATTACGCTTCAATGATTGCTAGTTTATAATCAATTGAACGTCTATATTAAAAGGTTGAAATAAGAAAAATCTAAAAAAGTTAAATTAAAATATTTTAATGGACATTTCTCGCCAAAATTTCATGCAATTTATTTATTACCTCACACGGATAATTTAACAATTCTAATAGACCAATAACAGGTAAGCAATCAACAATGAAACATTTGAAAGAGATAAATACCTGTATAATCCCTCTCTCCTAGCGATATATAATCGCATAGTATTCGAGTCACGTGATAAACAGTATCCTCGTAGAGTACGATTATCATTACCAGGTCCATGCATCATTTCCAGGTGATAGCATTCACCAAGACATGAACAGGTAAATCCGGGACGATGATTTTGACAACCTTGATCGCAGTAACCCCATTCAATACATTCATTGATATCTGATAAGCAGATAATTTTACACTTCATCACCATAATAAGATAATTATGTAAATAGTTAAAGTGGGAGTTATGAGTAGATAAGAAAAATATCATAAAATATTTAGATACATTTTTAAATTTTCAACTTTCCTTTTTTTTTTTTATATAAAATTTTAGTCTTCATATGTATGCCAACTTACGTGATTCAATTTTGTGATTCAAAAACTCAATTAAATCAATGAAACAATATCTGTAGTTGTTTTTCTGTAGTTGTTAGTTTCAGTTGTTTTTCTTTTTTTTTTTTTTTATTTGAGCTATACTACTATTAAATTTTTAAAATGATAAAAATTTTTCTTAGATTTATAAAGCACTTTTCTAATAGTTTTTGAAAAATTTTTTTGTACCGGAACAAGTTCTATGAAATCGTTCATCCAACTTATAGCCAACGGGGCAAGTACAAACACCGCCAGATGGTGATGAATGACATCCGGCTTGACATCCTAATGATGGACAAAGATTTGATGCTGAAATTTTAATTTTTATAAATTCCAGTTTTATAAATAAAATAGATAAAAAAAAAAAAAAAAAGAAATGAAATGAATTAAGTGCTATTTATCTTTTCCTCTGTTCACTAGCAGATAAACATAAAATTTCACAAATAATAAATTGCAAATAATCGCTGAAAAGCGAGTAATTCTTTTTATTTCATTCCTTATCAATGATTACAAATTTAATTTTTAATAGTCATAAAGAAATTAATATGGAAAAAGAAAAAAAAAAAAGAAAGTATTAACAGCAATTCTTTTCATCGAAACCATCCAAACAATCATTTTTTCCATCACATAATTTAGTTTTATGAATGCAATGACCCGAACCAGGACAATTCCATTGCTGTGGTGGACAAAGATATTGTCCACATCCTTCTTCATCAGAATTATCACCTGTAAATTAAAATCTTCATCATATACAATATTTTTAGCTATAATTTAACCACATGTTTTCATATATTTTTATATTTCAATTGGAAATTTTAAACAATCAATTTTACAATTGTCCAATTTTGTCAATAAGTTATACAAAAATCAAATTTAACGCTTTTCACTTTTTAATAACTTCTTTTTTTAGGACAAATGAAGGGATCAAAATCAATCATTTTAGAGAAGAAAAATCAATTAATATATTATTTGTAAATTAATTCAAAAGATAATGAATTTGAAGAATTATTTTCAATCACCGTAAATTATTAGTGCTTTTTCTTTTTTTTCTTTTTTTTTTTTTCAATGAGAAATGATAACAAATAATTCCTTCACTTAAAGCAAATTTCATAAAACGAATTAAATGATTTTTATTAAAAATTAATCATTAATATAATTTAAAATACTTTTCATAAAAACTGTAAAGCATTTCTTTTTAAACAAAGAAAAAGCAAAATTCAAACCGCAATCATCGTAATAGTCGCAACGAAATTTTCGTGGTTGGCATCGTTTATTCTTACATTGAAATTCACCACCGCTACACTGTTTAAATTCTAAAAATCTTATCAATAATACATTTTATATTATGATTTCTTTTTTCACATCTAAACGTAACACGTAGCTGCTATATGTAATAAATTGAACGTAACACGTATACGTTTAACAAGAAAAGAAATATTATATATCATAAAAAAAAAAGAGAATAATTAATTTACCACATGTTGATGGTTCATCTGAACTATCAGCACAATCACTTGAACCATCACAAACCCATGATTTTTGAATACATTGTGATTGATCAGCACAACGAAATTGATATTGAAAACAGGCTGTATGATTATGTGGACAGGAATCCTAGAATTTTTAATTAAAAAAATATTTCAACAAAAAAATATCAAAATTACTAGAATTGTTTAATTTTTCATAAAATATATTTTCTAATGATAAAAATAGAATTTAATCACTGAAAATATTTGTTGGAAAAAAATATCTGACCAATGAAATAATTGGTTATTGGCTAATCATATCAAGAAAAATCAAGAAAAAAAAATTAGGTTGCAAGGAAAGAAGAGCATATTTAAATTATGCTTTTTATTAAATATTTTGAAGATACTTTCTTCTTTTTGTTTACTTATAATTAGTACAAACAAGATTGTACGGGGATCAGTTGTACTTGCAAAGTAATAATTCTTGCAGCTTTTTTTCAGCAGATCAGTTTAATAGAACTACAAATTATTCAAAAATATTCCCTAATAATAATTTTTATGATCAAATAACATTATTCAAAATGCTATAAAAATGTTTTAAAATGTTACAAAAGAAAAAAAAAAAATTGTCAGAAGTTCTGTGACCTAAAATACGTATAATTACGTATAATTGAATAAGTTAAACGGACCTTTTCATCGCTTAAATCTCTACAATCGTACTTTCCATCACATTTCTTTGATATATCAAAGCATTGTCTTCCGTCAGCGCATTGGAATACGGAACCATCGTTAACGTTGCAGGATACACTTGGCGCCGCTGCAACATATACAGATCGGAAGAGTAACTTATAAAATTTGTGATTTCATAAGGTAATGTTATCAAGTATCACAGAGTAATGTCTTGAGATTTCATATCATATGTGAATTACTAATTAAGTTAATAAATGACAGAAAAAAACTAACGACAATCCACTTCATCCGAACCATCTGCACAGTCTGTAATATTGTCACATCGTTGATATTCCGGAATACAAGAAACTGAACGCCATTCATATTTGTCACATTGCCATTGATCCGGTTTGCAACCAGGATGTGCTATAATAAATTTATAATTATTTATTTTTCACTATGATTATGTTACTCAAAATTCTTGAAGATATTAAACAAATGTATTGTAATTGAACTTCATCAAATCCGATTCAAATATTCGTTGACTTAATTAATTAGTCCATCGTAAATGCGATTCAAAAAGTAGTCGAATATATATATAATACATTCTACTAATCAAATCTGATCCAGTTTGTTAAATGAAAAATTTAAAAGGGTTAATCAAACTAACGGCAGTCCTTCTCATCTTCGCCATCTGAACAATCGCCTGACCCGTCACATTTCCACTCGAACCTGATACATTTACCATCGTTACAACGGAAATCGTTTGTTGAGCAACCGGTAGTACCGGAATGGACTGATGTTGAGACTGGACCAGATAATGGCACCTCAACTGGCGAAATTGGTGAATCCACTGCAATTATCGTTACTACTTATGATATGAGCAGAGAAAATTATTTACACATTATTTTTTTGAATTTTTGAAATTGAATTATCTCATATTAATGATTCAGCTTGATAACATTCACTAGCAGTCTAACAAACAATAAATGTCAACAAAACAAATTCATTACTGTAACCGACCTCTCATACAAATATCAAATGATAACCTTTGTAAAAAAAATTATTCAGGTTTATCAAAGAAAAGAATTTCTAGTCATATCAAGTCACTTTGTTTTGTTTGACATTACTTTCCAGAAATGTTATAATTTAAACCACATGAATCACAAACCGGTTTTCTAGTCGAGTGACAAAAATAGACTTTGGGCTTCGGCTCAATTCTAACTTTTAATTTTAACCTTCAACTTACTACTTGCTCATTAATGATGTAGCATTTGACGTCTTTACTAGAGAATTTGAATAGTTCATATCAAGTTAAAATTTAAAAAACCAAAAAATAAATTTTCGAAGAATTTTATTTTTATAAAGTTTATTTTTTTATAATAGTAATTCTTTAAAACAAATGTAAATGAGATATGCAGCAAAATCAAATTATTTAGTAATTTACAATTAATTATTTGTAATTTAATAATTTGTGATTAATTATGAAAGATAGTAGGATAAATGTCACAGACGAAAAGTTTCACAAACTGACAGCTTCTTCGAAATAAATAACAGAGCCACATAAGAAATTTCAAAATGTAGATAAGAATCAACAAGCTTGTCACCTATGTGACAAATTACAAATTATAGCATCAGTTAGATTCATAGCATTAAAAGTTAAATTTAAAAATACTATGAAAATATGCTAGCATACATTAATTTTGTATCTCACGAAAAGAATAATTCATTTTTAAATGACCTTGAATATTTCTAATTAACATTGTTAATTGTATATTGAATAGTTTGTCATGGATTTTTTAAACTTTTCAAATATAATTGAATCATAAAACTCACACATTTTATGTACCATAAAAGAACGAAAACAAGGTGAAAAAAAAAAAAAAAACTTAATTTCTATTTACATCTTTCACTGATATTATATTTCATGTAGAAATGTTCCCTTGCAAATATTTTAAAATTGATGAACTATCAATGAAAGAAAGATGACTGATTTCAAGGGACCATATATTGCAAAAGTGTAATGTATCTTTTTTTTTTTTAAATCATTTTTAACAAATCGATAACGACAAAAATGATGAATACAACTATTAATGCATGATGAAGAAACGGAAAGAAATATTGTTGCTTTCTAATTATTACCTTTTACATTTTCAAAAAATTTTCTTATCTTTATCTCTTTTATTTTCTCTAATATTTTTTAATTATTTAAATCGTTTTTTTTTTTTTTTTTTTTTTCACATTAGAAATATTTTCAATATAATTTTTCACATTGCTCAATGTAAAAGATATATTGAAGAAATGATTCGTATCGGTTGTTTTTTATTGATTTCATTAAATTTTCATTTATTTTTGAATCAAATATGAATGATGAATTATTTTTTGAAAAAATTGTCCAATATAACAATCCTTTTTACTACTAACTATTATAATTATTTCTGATTAAACAAAAAAAAAAAAAAGATTTTCCTTCTTTTATTTTTTATTCTTTCCTTTTTTTATTTTTTATTTTTTCCATCTTTTTCTTTTCTTTTTTTTTTTTTTCTCATAACCATAACAAAACGAAAATGGGAGAGCAAGTGATGATGTTTTGCTATTTCCAATAGAAATGATAGACTATTGTAGCATTCACTTCTACTGATCATCTCTCTTCCAATCACCTCTCTCTCTCCCTCCCTCTCCCTCTTTATCATCGATATTTTCTATTTTCTTTTCTTTTTTTTTTACAGACCCCAAATTCAACCAACAAAAATTTTTTCTTTTTTATTTTTTTTTTTTCTCACTGCTACAGAACAATTTTCACTTTTTTCCTTTCAACACAAAAATTATCAATGAAATTATTGAGAAAAATGAAGCATTTGAGGTAGAAGGAATGTGACGATTAGTCATCAATGACTTATCATATTTTGATATGAATTGTTATTTTATCTCAAAAGATGCAACAAATGGCATTTTTTTTTGCTGGAAAAGTCTCGAAAAATATTCCAAAGAAATATGTTAGAAAAGAAGTAATGTAATTTTGTAAGAAAAATAAATATGGAATGACTAATTTCATCAAATAAACATTACTAAGCTTATAAGCTATTTATGGCTAATATCATCATCATTATAATAATAATAATAATAACAATAATAATAATAATTTTAATATTTTGTAAAATTATTAGAAATATTCTATAAAAATAGAATAGTTTCATGGTTTTTTTTTCTTTTTTTTTTAAAAAAAAAAAGTTACATTAATTGCTTTGGTGCAATAAATTTGTACAGCTATGTCATTGTTATCAACAAAATTATTGACAAATGTGAAAAAAAAAAAAAAACTTGATCTGCATATGTTTAAGAAGTTCCGTACAAAAAAAAAAAACATTTTGATTAAATTAGTTGAAAAATTGAATAAAGTAAATGACAACAAATTAAAAAAAAAAGAAGGAAGAATTTATTTATACAAAAAGGAAAATCAATTGAGTGACAATTAAAATGAAAAAGATAAATAAATGTTTGTATTGATAAATGATGTAAAGAAAAATTATTAATTCTTAACAGCAATAGAAAAATTAGGAATACATGGAGATAAAATGAAGTGTGAAAAATTTTTTTGACGAATCAGGAAAAAGTGATAAAGTGATCCATCCATTTAATAAAAATCACTCTTCTATCACTACAATAATTATAATCATTCATTTCTTTTTTTTCTTTAATATTAAAACATTAATTAACTTTAAAAAAAAAAAAAATTATGATAGTGATCAGTTGTGATAAAATGCTGAATTCAGTTCATTTGTGATAATAATTGATAAAGTTCATTAGGATAGAGCAAGTTAAGCTATTCATTTATATCATTAATGCAGCGAAATTATCCATCAGATATCATATATCAGTTGTAAATAATACATCAACCGGAATTATTCAACGATAGAATAAACAAAGAGATAAATTTTTAATACTTTTAATACATATAAGAAACCAGATATTTCTTTGTAAGATTAAACATAACTCAAAAATACTAAATTGATAAGTGTTAGTTGAGAATTTTATTATACATTGGTAAATACATTAGCTATTATTATGGAATTACGCTTTTTCTTTATGCACCTTTTTTTTTTTTTTCATTTGTTCTAAGTTTTAGGATAATTTAAAAATCTGTTCATCTGATATTATCATATTGATATTATCATAGTGTGATAACTTGAATAGGAATAAAAAAATCCATTCCATCAATAAATGATAGCAATAAACAGTTTTAGTAGAGGAAAAGTAATTGTAGAGAAAATATTTTATATTGAGCTAAAAATTAATGAATAATTCAAATTGGTCAAATGGATTGGTGCTCTATGCTATATGATAAATAATATTATTATGTTGAAAAGAACATAGAGGTCATTTGAATATACAATTATTCTAACAGGATACCCTTCTAACAGTATACAATTGATATTTTTGGATAGAATTTAATAATTTCAAACAGAACGATGACCATTTGCTATAATCAATCAATCAATCAATATATATTATTTTAATATTATTTAATTATAAATTGAATTTTTAACAAATTCAATATTTCATATGTGTCCATTAATAGCTTTTGAATAGAAAGCGCAATTATTTAAAAAAAAAAAGATTTTTATGAGCTTTTAGTATTTAATTTATCCTCCAATTCCATAATTGATTTTTAAGTTAAAAATTAAAAATTATCAAAAATATTTCAGATGTCAGAAGTTATCTTTAGTTAAAAAATACACTGATAAGAATTAAAAGTAATCGTAATACTGTCAATAATACATTTACTTTTCATTTCTAATATTACTTTTCATGTTACATTTAAAAACAATAATCATTATGATATAATAATGCTACTTTTTTTTATAATGAAAAATTGAGAGGTAAGGAAATCCATTTTAAGTATTCGTATTACAAATTTTATCAATTTTACATTGAAACTTGTTTTTGTTTTTGTTTTTGAATATTTTTTAGACAATTTTATTTGCACATTGCTCAATTTTGCAGCAAATTTTTAGGAGCATTTGTATATTTGAAGTAAAATGAGAAAATGATTGTAGTATCTTTTAAAGAAATATCTTTATATAAAAGCTCTAGCATAAAAGGTTGTAAAGGTCAAAATCATCATACAAGGTCATAATCATATTGAATGCCACCAAATACGCATTTTTATTTTAAGCTTTTTCTTATTTTTAATCGATTTTAAAATTTTTTATTTTTTTTAAAATCTTATCTTTTTTAATAACTTTCTTTTTTTTTTTATTTTAATTTCAAGGGGACTATTTCTACAAATGTCATCCATAATATTACTGTGCTTGTAACAGAAAGCAGTTAATCACAGGTGTATCCCATTCACCTTATTTTTGTCATCCCATACATACATAGATAGATTCATTTACTGTCACATCAAAGCAAGAGAATTTTCTAGCAATAATATAATCACAATCATAGTGTCAACTCTACCTTCTCATCCAAATGTAAATACTGTAATTCCAAACAATGAAATAATGAAAATTGTTGTAATAACTCAAACAATTCCCCTCGATCTCTTGCACAAATTCCATTCCATTAGGTATACATCAAACTCAAGCAAAACAACAAAATTTAAAAAAAATGCAAAGAAAACCATTCAATAAAAAAAAAAAAAAAAAAAAAAAAAAAGAAATGATATTTGATGTGATAAATTCATTTTGTACTTTAATACATTTTAATTTTTGTTACACAAAAATTTTTTTTGTAGTAATAACAAATAGCAATAGATTCAGCTCAAATATTAAACCAAAAAATATGACTGATCAAAGTAGATAATGTCAAAAAAAAAGAAAAAGGAAATGATATTAAGAATAAATTAATAATGTAGCAATGAAAAAATGGAAAATAATATTGTAAGATATAAATGATAAGAAATGAATAGAAAACCTTGTATGGGTATAAGATCCGGGTTAGCTGCCCATGCTTGTTGTATATTTCCCGATAATATATAACTCAGATAATATAATAATAGTAGCATGCTCTAATATAGAAAATCAGTGAAATAGTGAGAGAGAGAGTAAATAGATGTGATGTATTTATTATTGGGTAAATCGTTTTGTCGTCTTATACGACGATTACTACCACATCTGAAATAAAATGAAATGAATTGAAAAGAGCAAAAATATATGATTAAAAATAAATTCATATTAATTTCACATATATTAGTTGTAATTATAAGTTAATACTTTTATAAAATTATAAGTTAATACTTTTTTTTTTGAAAATTTATAAATAGTAAAGATATAATATACACATTGATAATATCAATAAAAAGAAAGAAAATAGTATAAAATGAAGGAAAGAATAGAAAATATAAATTCGACTGTTTCCTTTTCTTTCTTTTCCTTTTTTTTTTTTTTTTTCAAATTAGATAAAATGATAATATTTTATCAATCATCATCTATCGCCTATTATTTTAAAATCTTCAAAAAGAATGCAATGATTTTGGAAGAATTATTTGTTAACAGAAATTGATGCACCCAAACTCCTTCTTATTTATGTTGTTAACAACGAAAGTTTTAAGACTACAAAATGAGAGACGAAAATTTGAACAGTGTTGCGCATGTCAACAGAACAAAAGACAGTGCGGTGAAATCAATTTCACAATCCAATTAATAAATGTTTGTTTCGAAATTGAAACTACTAAGACATTAGAGAGCATTCAAGATAGAAAAAGAAATTTACAGTGTAAGGCGGGGAGAAGAGGGGAAAGGGGGAGGGGGAAGATGGGAGGGATAAATGAACCACTACCACCAACCACCTACTACCATCATCTTCTTTTTTCCCTTAAATCATATTATCACGGCGAAACAAAATGATGCTACGGGGCGGGAAGGAGGAGAAGGGGGGAAGATGGGCGGGTGAAATACGTGTTTCCAACAAATTCTCTCACTTCAATGATGACAATAACGATGAGGACGATGACAACGACGACAGCGATGATGCTGATGATGGTGATGATGGTGATGGTGGCATGCATCCCTACCCGATCCCCTTCACATCACTCTACACCTCGATCGGCAGCACCACCGGTCGGTCATATTGCAGCGCTACTATCTTTACCGACCGGTAACAAACACCATCACGAATAGCGCACCTTTCCTCTTCTTTCAACTCTTTTCTTCTTTAATTGGCGCTATTATAGAACTCTGCAAGGCATGCATTGGCATGCATCTTCTGCATTTCAATGAGCATGCAGATATAATCTAATTGATTCTCTTCTCTTTTCACTGCTTACTTCCCATACATAATTTTAATAATAGCTTTTAATTAGTAGAAATTATAAAGCTATTAAAATTATTAGCTAATTTGTTATATACCATTTCATTCTCAACGTTCTATTCTCAATTGTACAAAAGTTAATTCTTTTATCATTTAAATGACGAAATCTTTGTCCGACAATAATCGATTTACTTTTTCATTCATTTCCTCTCTTCTAGTCCTGCACTGAAACCATAGAAACGATTTACCACATTATTTAATTGTTCTCTCAAAATTTTACATCAAAATATTAGAGCTCAGCAATGATCGATTTTATAAAGACCACCTAATATGCGTAATGTGCCTAAAGAATGTATGAAGAGTTAGCGCTGTGGATAAAGGTATTTTCTAATGTACCAGCAACCTCCGAGGATTTTTCTCGATTTTTCATATTTAATTTTATCAAGTTTAAAGTTATGTTTTACTAGTGGGAACACAGAGTAAATTGGATATTTGAATGATACAAGGTCAGTTGGAATTGGAATAGTGAAGAGGATCCTTTATCGGTCATATTACTGACCATTTTGATTAATGGATGAGAGGAGAGGACAGGGAAGGTAAACATATATACAACCTAAAATGATGATAAAAAGCAATTGAATGATTAAATTTAGTGAATACATAAAATGTTTAAAAATTGCTCACGTGGTGATTGACTAAAATAGGCGATTCCAGATCTCCGTACAATACAAACTTAAAACTTTTTTCTTTAAAAAAAAGGAAAAAAATATATTGAAATGTTGAAATTGCTTGCACGCTTCCCAGAAATATGGTACAAATCAGATTCTCACTTTTCAATTCTACGTATAGTCTCCAAATGTGATACTTTTAACGATGAGTGTTTTTACGTCAAGCATAAATAAAAGCGTAAAGAAATAGCATAAAAAAAGCATCGAGAATAACAAGACTTTAACCATATAGCACACATTTACGCCATCGATAACATACAATGCCGCCCAGAACACCACGGAAAGAGCAAGGGGGTTGTCATTTGTCTCGTCAACGAACTAACGAGCCATCATCATCACCTCACTATCACAAACCTGATTTTAAAAGAGTGGTGAGCAAAAAGCGATCATTCATCCCACTCCATCCATCGTCCACAACTCAGTTCCTTTTGCATTCATTTTGATAGTATCAGCCCATCAAATTTTTACATAGCAATATAATGACCAGACTATACCATTAATGATGACCATCATATCATCAGTAGTAATGAGGAAACGATGTATTTCAACTGAACATCAATAATTCACACATTTAAATGGGCGAAACGGTCAAAGATGATAGTCCAGGTCAAAGCTTCCGAAGAACTGGTCACGTCACCTTGTATGATCCCGATATAGACTAACAGAGATTTACTCTATATATAGTGGAATAGAGCTAAGTGATACGGATTATATATTTTCGAAGCTGCACAAGAAGGAATTATATTAGCAGCTGCTTAAGAGAAGTTATTCCATCGTTACTTTTCACTGAAGAGAATTTCAGACTGCTTAAACAACCCTTGGAAATATGCAATAAATTTATCAAAAATCCATGTAAAATATGAATCATGTACAATGAGTATTCAGGCACTTACCGTGAATGAACTGGCTCTCACCGATATGTAAAGCAGTAAAGTTGAGATAAATTTCTTACAAATATAACTTAGTAATAAACGAATATTGGAGATTATCTTCAATAGAAAATCATACTTCCATTACGAAATAATTTACTTCGTTGCTAGTACCAGTTCAATTTCACCGGAAAGTAAGGAAGGATCATACAACTTAATTTTTCTCTTCTATCATTAACCTGGTTATCTTATCTGATACAAATCATTCTCATAATATTCGAGATCGGGTATTTCGTCTACGTTGAATAAATCTTCATTGATTTCCATATTTCCAATACCAACAGCAGTTTCTTCCCACTGAAATTATGGAGAACATATATGATATGGTATATATGAACTATTGTTAGGTGTTAAATGAAATTAGAAAGTATTAGAACTTAAAAATGAAGCGGTATTTTAAGAAAATAAAGTAAACATGAATTAATCTGATGAAAACAATGTGGAGTGTAGAAAAATATAAAAAAACCTTTTCGTCGTCATATAGGTTGTCATCCAACATATGTCCTTCGTCATCGATGCAGTAAAAAGTGCGCTCATTGATTTCAAATGCTTTTATCTCTGCCTAAATAAACTATTACAATCATAAAAACGAATAAACTTATAATTATATTCTAAATTCATCAACATTTCGAAAAATTACTCATATATGAAAAAAGATTTCATTATAAATACACATGAAAAAGACAGCTTTTAAAAATTCTTTATATTGTTTTTTAGTAAATATTAAAATGGGAATGTAAAATAAAGAAAATAAAAACCTCATCATTATATTCCTCTCCAAATTCTCGCTCAAATGCAATACCTCCTTCCATATCTCCTTCATCTTGCACCATTAATTCTGGATTGTACGTGAACAAATCACGGCCACTCATTCCAACCTATAATACCCAAAAACAATATAAAATGCATGTCGTCATAACCCTGAAAAAATTTGTCATGTTAAAATGTTGTATCGTTAAAGACAAATTTTACATAGTTGCTAACAGTACAATTAGAAAAACAATAAATATTTAATTTACATAAGTTTCATTACAATTCTTTCTCAATAATATGCCATTTCAAAAAACCTCATTTAAGAAATATTTCGAATAAAACTTGTATTCATGTGAAGCTAGTAGAAAGATACTGCACAGAAACTAAACAGTAGATATGCTAATAAACTAAGCAAATCTCACCGATTTACCAATCCTAATGTTTTTCTTTTTCTCTTTCTCTTCTTCTGCAATTTTTTTCTTTCGCTCTCGCAACTTCATCTTCTTCCAACGAATAAAGGTATCCAGCGTTACTTTTGTAAGATTTTCTGGCTTAAGTTGTGTACGCTGAAATATTACATATAAAAATCAATTCTACAACACTTTAAACATTACCGGAGCTCTAAATACAATACCTCTTTCTCGAGGAGTTCTTCCAGACTGATTTCATTTAATTGTTTATGCTCTTCCAACTTCTTCCTATCTTTTTTCAGAATATAACCTGATGGCAAAGCATGCCTATAAATACAACCATCGCCATTTGGACATTCCCAAAACCAACCATATTTGTTATTCTCAACAGCTTCCAGAAAATATTTACATACCTGAAAAAAAAAAAAAGCAAAATTCATACCGCTAAGGAAAGTTATTCAGAAATATATGTCTGTTCCGTGCATCGCAACTTACAATATCTGTTTGATTCGGCCTTTTCCTATCACGTTCTCCATGTTTCTTCTCAGCAACTTCGCTTAATTTAGACTCATCCCAATCATCTATATTATCTGAAATCATAAATGTCACTAATTCCATTCTTTCAGTAAAAAATGAAAACTTGAAAATTCGTAAATATTGAAAGAAAATATCATTTTTTTTTTTTGAAAGATTAACGTGATAACATATTGTAAACAACAAACAAAGGTAATAAACAAAAAATTACCGTCTTCTTTTGATAAATCTCGGCTATCAACATAAAGATTCTTCTTAGCTGTTTTCTGTTCTTTTGATAAATCATGACTAAATTTGCACTTTTCACCTTTGTGACACATTCCTTGTTTGTAAAATAAACAAACCACTGATTTAGGATCAACATCTGCAAGAAATGAATTAAAACATAAAAGCTCCATGTCATTATCAAAAATACATCACAGAAATGTAATTAGCATTCTTTTAATAAGTAACATAGACTAAACGAAAACAGAGTAAAAATTTCGCATTCTCTGAATATTGAAAATAACATTTGAAGCACAGCAGCATGTACCATCAAAAAAAAATTTCCTAGTAATTATTCAAATTAATACCTCGCGCTACCTTAGGCATTTCAGTTACCGGTTTCAAAAGTTTATTCAAATCTCGTAGTTCACCATCAGCTGCTTTCTTCTTTGCTGCAGCCTTTTCTGCATTGTTCATATTACATTGTTTAATCTAAAAACAAATTTACTGATCAGATCAAAATTACAGCCAAGTGTCGAGTCTATTGTTCTAGATTTGATAGAATCCCATTCCTTATCTTTACATATATACAACAGCGAGAGTATTACCACAGTACAGTATTTTTAAAAAATCGTCAAAATTTTAGGACTAAGAAGTTTTAGTATCAAAAATTTACTTCAAATATTTACTAAAAAAAAAAAAAGCAAAGAAGGAATACAGCAAAAGAGCCAACTATTACTATATAGCTCATAGCAGAGCTTTACCTAAGCGATATAACTTACCTGATTTGTCACTTGTTGTACATATTTCTGTGTCTTTGCTCCTTTCTTATTTTTCAGTCCAAATGTTTTATCTTCAATTAATTTTTCCTTCTTTTTCTGTTCCACTTTTTTATTTGGAGCATTTTTTGGTGGCATATTGAAGAATTTTTTTCCTGAAAATTTAATAAACATTACTTATGAATGAATCAAATGCATATATCAAGTAGAAAACTACAAAAAAAAAAGTACAAATTATTATAGAATAAAATTTATGAGCAGAATATAAGATGATTAAAAGACATAGTAAAGAGATTCAATGGTGTCCCACAAATATGCAGGACGTTCCAAAATTTTACTTCAAGCCACAATAGCCTAAACTCTGGGCCGAAACATTCAATTACCTCAAACTTGGATAATTAAACCGTCCATCGTACGTAAGATGGAAAAAAGTAAATACGTAAATGTAAGATGGAAAAAAAGAAAAAAAAAAAAACTATTTATAAGCAAGCAATGTTTCTAACAAATTTTATCA